ATATGAGAGACAGTCATTACATATACATTGATTACCTGATAAATTTCTAGAAGGATGTTATATCTAAAAGATACATTAGAAATGGCAGATTCCTGTTTTCCCAAAACATAAAGTCAAGTTAAAGAGGCAGAACTTAAACTTAGGACTTAAAACTATCATTGGACAACAGTGACAAAGAACCTGTCAGTGCACACAAAAAATATGGACTAAAGGCCTTAGAGTGGGAAGAGTCTGAGACGTTCAAGGGGATCCAGGAGATTGGGTCACATAAAGACTGGTAGAATCTGGAACCCTTTGGAACAGGTGTCACTGTGCATTCTCAAAGAGCTGGGTTCTGTTAATGGGGCTAATGCTGCCCCTTATGAATCACAGTGGCAGGAAGAGCATGGCAACATGAGCAATGCTGGTGAGTCCCTGAGAGGGAGGGCTCCCAGGCTTTGAGTCCCCAAATAAGGCAAATCACTCACCTTCCCATTCATTAATAGACCTGAGTCATTCAGGGACATTACGAGTGGCTCTTAGTTCTTCCTGCCCTCTGTTTTCCTTCACTCTGCTCTTGTTTTCCCCACCCCACCTTCCCCACCTTATGCCACCATATATTTGAGGACAGGACAGGACCCCATTCATAAGACAAAATGCCGGTCAGGCCATCCTGTGTCATACCTCCTCCAGGCTAGCATGAGGTTTAGGATTAGTCAATGATTTCTTTGGTTCTCAAGTTGATATTATTATTGTGTGGAATGAGTGTTGAAAGCCTTCCCAAATTATTAGGAAGTTTGAAGGCAGAAGAGGTGAGAAAGGGAAAACAAGAATGAAGAAATTATAGGATGAGTAAGGGGAAGATGTGGAGAGCTTTGTTCCCGTACCCCAATAAGACTGTCCTATCATAATCAAGCCCTTGTCACCAGCCATGTGTATAGTTATGGAACACAACCAACTGGGAAATTTCTGCCAAACCCCACTTTCCTGTACTCAACTATCTTAATAATCTTATTAAACAAATCCATGGTAGGCCTTGTGAATGACAAACAAAAGTCCTAAAGATTGAAGAGCTATAGAACTTAGACATTGTGAAAACCCTTTCAGTGCCCATGAAAAGAAAGATGAAAAGGCAAGGTCCCTACTCTCATAGAGTTCAGTTGAGTGAGGAAGACAAGATACACCAATGGATGAAAACAATGACTTGTTCATTGTAATGATGGGAGATGTACATGATGGTGTGTGTGTGGGGCGGTGCCATTGCAGTAGCTTCTACTGTGCTTGGTTTACCACAAAGATTATATGTAGCCCAGTTCCTGATGGATGACTGGTTATTTCTGAAGCAGATGGGATTGAGATGACATTTCAGGCAATGGGAATGCAAGAACAAAGACATGGAGGTTGGAAGTAAGAATACAGAACAATGTGTAAGGAAGAGCAATGTCTCGTCTGGTCAACAGGTGGCACTGTTGAATGTCTTTGATAGCTTCTTTCCATATAGATATTGTTTACTTCCTCTTTTATAACATCTGTAGGAAAGGAAGTTTAATTAAACATGAGGATACACACAAGAAGTGGCGGGAGGAATTATACAGAAAAGTCCGTCATTGAGAGGAAGTCCAAGGGGTTTAATTTTAAGGGGTGGTGGGAGATGAGCCTGGGAGGGAACCCAAAAGCCAGAACTGGTGAAGCTCAGATACTGTACTAAGGAGTTTGACTTTAGGACACTGAAGAGTCTTTGAAAGGTCTTAACAATAACAACATCAGAAGATTATGGCAGCAGTGCGTGGAGAGTGCTTGGAAAGGAAAGAGCCTGGAGCTCGGGAGGTGATTTTAAGAAACTGATGCAGTAGTCTAGGTGAGAGATGACAGGGGCCTGAAATAAGGGAGTGACTTATTTTATGGATGGAGAAGAGAGGACAGGTTCCAGAGACATGTAGGGAGAAGCCACAAGGCATGGTCCTCCATTGCATGTGGGAGTATTAGAGAGAGAGAGAGAGAGAGAGAAAGAAACAGAGAGGAATCAAAGGTGATTTTCAGGTTTCTGGTTTGGATCATTGGATGAGTTGTGGTCCCAGTAACAGAGATTGGGAATACAGGAAAAGGAACAGGTTGGATGAAGAAAAGAAAGAAAGAAGAAAGAAAGAAAGAAAGAAAGAAAGAAAGAAAGAAAGAAAGAAAGAAAGAAAGAAAAGGTCAGATCAGCATTGAAAATATTGAGATGAAGGTGCTGGTGGATGTTCATGTAGAGATGTCCCATAGCTCCTTGGGCATTTAGAACTAGAGATAGAGAAGTTTGGACCAAAAACACAGATTTTGGAATCATCCACATGGCACAGAATAAATATCTCAGGGAATGCTTATAAAAGGAAGGGCAAAGGGCTGAGAAGGGAGACAGAAAAAACATGGATATAAATTTACAATACAAACATTTGCCCCGCAACCCCACCTGGAGTATGGGCTCTCCAGCCCGCCCGACGCTACCCACAGCCACCACCACCTTTCAGAATGGCCAACGGCACGTGCCTGTGGCCTGAGCCAGGAGGTGCAGCAGAAGATTGCGAAGCAGTACAGTGCAGACCTGGAGCAGATCCTGATCCAGTGGATCACTGCCCAGTGCGGCAAGGATGTGAGGACATCCAGAATAGGCTCAGGGATGGCACACGGTGCTGTGTGAGCGCATTAACGGGCTGTGTGTACCCCGAGGGGCTGGCCCAGGGAAGAAGATCCAGGCCTTCTCCGTGGCCTTCATGTGGATGGAGCAGATGTCGCAGTTCCTGTCAGCAGCCAAGCGCTACGGCATCTGTAGCACCGACATCTTCCAGAGCAGGGGCCTCTGGGAAGGAAAGAAATGGTCTGTGTGCAGAGGACACTGATAAAATTGGGTGGCAGTAGCCTGGGTGATGGTTTTTCTCTGGGGATCCCAACTGGTTTTTTAAGAAATCCAAGACAACCAGCTGCAAGAGGGCAAAAACATGATTGGGTTATAGATAGGCACCAACCACAGGGCATCTCAGGCAGGCATGACTGGCTATGGGATGTCATGCCAGTTCCTCTGATCCATCCTCAGCCCTGCTCCTGCCCTCCCTTGGACAGCTTATTTTTTTAATGTATTTATTATTTATTATTTTATGTATTATTTTATTTGTTTGTTTGTTTGTTTGTTTTAGCAATGACATTCCCTAGAGGCCCCTGGAGCTCTCAAGCTCCCCTCTGCCAGGGTGGGGGCCTGGCCTGGCATTATCTCCTCCGGGGGTGCCCAATGGCAGCCTCTCCCCCTGTGCTTACTAATATAGTCCCTTCTCCAAACTCACAAAACCTGGACCAACTGGCCTCTTCTTTTTCCCTGACCAAAATTTAGGGCCTTTCCTCCTCCTTCAGACCTCTCTTCTCCCCGTATCTCTGTGCCTTCAATTCATTCCTTGGCTGGGGGTCATCAGCAATGCCTTTGGGCCTTCCTTCCACAAATATGCCTCGCTCACAGCTGTGGCTGCAGGGACTTAATTTATAGGGAGGGGTCTGTGGCAGCTGCCACCCCTGCGCAGCTGGACTGGGCTCGCCACACACCGAAGGAAGCCTGCCCTGGCAGAGGCCCTCCTGGCCCCTCATTTTCCATTCCCCTCGCTGTGGCTAAGGGATGGTGTGAGGGGAGAAAGGAGGAAGGGCTTCCCACTGTGGACTGGGGCTTGAAGAATCTGAATTTGCTGATTTAAATAAATTATCTCTGTGTTGTTGGTTTTTTTAATTACAACACGAGGTGGCAGGAAGAATAGGTCTGTGGAACAGAGGGCATGAGCTGACAGACTCTGTAACAATAGTGTTTGGCTGTTTTAGCTTTTATTTCCATTTTTATTATATGAAGACAATAATCATCGAGTGTCATCAGGAAAAGTTATGGAAGTCTTGTTTAGTTTTCTTATATTATCATAACTACACTCTAGTGGTGGAGAGTGGTACTTACTATTCACACCAGTTGTTCAGACTGAGGGATAGGACTAGTTATGTATATAGGTTGCTCATTTTATAAGTCTCCCATTATAAACTTTAGGTATGATGGGCAAATGTAGGAACATCGATAGAACAATTAGCTTATTATTCTCTATTTGAGCATTGTGCTCTAAGAGCAGAGATAGTGAATTAGAGTTAACTTACAGGGGTCACCTCGTCCACCTGTGGTCTCCATGCTTGGCTTTGTAACGTTCAACATTTATCTTCTCAGATGAACTTGGACAGTGTAGTGATCAAGCCTGAGGAGAATGAAAATATTTTGCACGACCAGATCAATATTTAGAAAAGCTCTCGTTGGGTTTAATGTTGGGCCCAACCCAATAAGTTACACTTTGACTGGAATAAATGTACATTCTTGCCCTTGGTTTCTGAAAAGTGACTGATTAAATAAGGGATGGTGGAGTTAACAATGAAATGAGAGGGCACCCACAGCTAACCCTACTTCTGGCCACACTGATAAAACATGCAATATGGACAGCAGTTGTCTGTGTCCTTCCCTGGGGTGAGTGCAGATGGTTTGAGTTGTGCTAGACACTCCAACCCACACAAGGGGAACCAGATGGCAAAGAGGCGGTTGAAGAATTGCTTAATGACTAGCAAGAGGGGTTGGAGATAAGCAGAAGGTTGTGATGTCTTCATCAATGTGAGAGCATTGCCCCACTTAAGAGGACTTAAATGAATCCTGTGAAAGCTTCAGAGGGTAGAATTTCTGTCCGTAGAAAGAAGATAAAGGAAGGCAGTTCACAATAGGAAGAATCTTCCTAACAGTTCCTCTTTTCATAAATGGCATGGCAGCCCTGGGAGGCCGTGAGCTCCCCACAGCTGGGGGTGCTCAAGCGGAGTGATACTGCAGAGGAGAGTCTTGGGGGTGGGGCGGAAATTGAGTTAGATGACCCCAGAGGCCACGGTCAGCTGAGATTTGGCGATGTGAAATGACCCATTCAGTTGCTTCGTTTTCTCATCCTGAGTACAATTCTGGTTCGTGAGTGTGTTTGTTTTTTCTCCCCATATAGAGATAATCTGTTCTACAAATCTCATAATTCTGCTGGAGGATGAAATCTTTGCTGATTTTTTCAACACATTTCTTTCTCTCCCGGTAAGTTTTCTCACTCGGACTTAAATCCACATGTTTCATCAACAGACAAGTAGTGAATCTCACTGAGCCATGTGCCTTTAAAAAAAATAAATAAACTTACCAAATAAAAACTTTTCACTTTGAGCAAGTAAATATGAATTAGAATTTCCTTTAAATATTCAGGAGCTTCCCATCGTTGATATAATCCCAAGTCCCCACCTCCTTAATTGCGTTTGCCCGTCACACCCTCTGCCGGTACCCAGTAGTCTACCAAAGGGGCACCCCTGGCATTCTTCCTCCTCCGCACCTCTGCTGAGCTGTGTTCTTAGTTTCTGTAGTTCCACCGTCCAAGGTCTTAACCATTTTTCAAATCGCTGCTTAAGTCCTGTTCTCCTTAAGGAATTCCCAGGTGTCCTTCCAATGGGACTTATTTTCCCTGCCTCTGTGCCCCTTAGCACTTTGCAACTAATAAAATGTCTTAGTATGACTTCTGAAACCTTTCATGACACTGGCAGAGGTAACAGTATGCGTGAGGATCGCCCCAAAGACCTGCTCTGAGAGGGCTCTTCCTCTTTCCTCTTTTTACCATGTGGCCGGCACCACCATCCATCCAGGCAGCTAAGCCTGTTACCCCCAAACTCCTCCCTCTTGTTACCGCCTCTCCCCAACCTTCAAACAGTGAGAGGCCTGGCATTTTGCTTTGTAAAAAATCTCTCTTATCTGTCCCATCCTTTTTGCCTTTAGATCCTGATCACCGCCCACCTGGTTCCCTAGGTCACAGGCTCTGCTCCATGACAAAAGGCTAGAATTATCTATCAGTTTTGGACACCTAATGCCCCCATAAGTGATCAGTACCCCTAATCTTCATATCCTTGGTCCTTTCCACTTTCTCCAGCTCAAGAGTTCAGGCAAATCCAAAGCTGTTTCTCTTTATGAAAGAGTTTAGACCTTTGTCTTTAGCCAATTAATACACAAAATACACAAAAGTCAACACCTTTTAATAGCTTGGGCTTTGGCAAGATAACTCCCAGGTTGAGGGCGGAGCCAAAAGATAAACAAATCTTGTCATTTCGTCTACTTTGGGTGTTTTGGGGCAAGGCAAGTTGGTTCAGTGGCGTACATGTAAGAATGAATGTCCCCTGAAATAGGAAAGCAATGGAACCTCTCTTCCCCTGTAGCTGCAGTGCCCCGTGACATGTTCATGAGGAGACGCTCTACCCCTTTGGCTGTTTCCTAGTTTTCTTTTGCAGGTCTTCGGTCAGACACCATTTTATACAGTTGAAAATGCACAGTGGAGCTTGTGGCCAGAAATACCTCATGACTTGGTGAGTAAGGGCCTTACTTCAGTGGTGGCCGTCTTGGGGTGGGGGGCTGAGGGAGCTGAAATGGAAGTGTGATTGGGAGAGGGAGAGGGAGAAAGGAAAGCAGGTGAGTAGAGCAAACAGTATCAAGCCAGTTAGACATTTCTCCTTTGTGCATTCTTATCACTTGCCCAAGAGGTGCTGGTGAGTTCCTCCTTTTATATTCCAATCGAGGGTTAGCAAATGGGACTTCATCTCTCATGCTCACTGTGACTGGTTGGGTCGTAGATGCTTGAAGCACTGTGTTGAAAAGAACTCTGAGGCCACACCTAAGCCAGAAAGAGTCTGGGAATTGATTGGCAAAGCCTGACGTGGGTGTGGGGTAGGCAGTCACAGTCCATGGGCTACATAGTAATTTGCATGATAAAGTGTAGCTCAAGGTCAGATGCCACTCTGCAATTCCGAATACCTACTCCGCCACTCTCCTCCAGAGATTTGTCTCACTTTTCCCTCTTTATATCCTTTTTCCTTGTCCTCATCCATGGTCTTTCTCTTTCCCTTCTCCCCCTTCCTGTTACTGGTATCCTCTTCCACCGTATAAATGTGAGACATACCAATGGCTTCCACATACCCTGCCGGCGGCAGACAGTCTCAGACAGATCATCCTAATCCCTACTCACAGCAAGCTTTTGTTTCCCCCTGGGATCTGGAGAGCTGAGAAAGACACCCCACTCTGACTGTTACATTCAGTATTCCTAGAACTCCGAAACGTAAACATTTTAGTTTTTTCCTCCTTTTTCTGGTGGCCCAGTGTCTCAGGGATCCATCCTGTACTCTATCTGATGTTATGTGTGAGTCTTTGTGTGTTTTTGTACACGCTGTGCAGTTGATATGGGTTGGGAGCCTGCAAAATATTATAAATGTGCTTTTATAAAGAAGCACATTGAATAGAGTTATGACTCAACACCAAAGTCTCTTCTGCTCCTCTTCTATCAAGCAAGGCTTAGATCTTATTTCAAAATGGATATGATTTTGACCCTCTCTGGGGTCATGATTTCAGAGAGGAAGGGAGAGGGAGAGGGAAAGAGATAGAAACATCAATAATGAGAGAGAGTCATTGATCAGCTGCCTCCTGCATGACCCCCACTGGGGACTGAGCCTGAAATCTGGGCATGTGCACTGACCAGGAATTGAACCGTGACCTCCTGGTTCATAGGTCAACGCTCAACCACTGAGCCACGTCAGCTGGGTGACTTAGATCTTTTTTTAAAACAGCTTCACCCACGAATATTTCTTTTGTACCAATCCGTTCACTCCTTTGGGAGCCTCAGTTCAAGTCTTCAGTTTCTTTAGGTTCTATTTTTAATCTCTGGGCCAGACTCAGCAAGTGTTAGGTTATTTGTTGCCCTTTTCTAAGCTGCATTTCTTTGCAGTTCAGTTCCATTTCTCTTTTCTGTTCCTATTTTGTTTGGACTCTAGATTCCAAAGTACAAAGGATTATTGACCTGGCTGGGAAAATACCGGTTACCTTTCTTCTGTAAAACCAACTTGTGTTTCCATTACATTCTTTGTCAAGAGCTCATCAGTTTCATTAATTCCCCAGAAGGAGGTAAGCATGAAGGTATAAGTATGAAGAAATATGGGAAGCCAGGCTGCGTGTTAGTCCTACAGTAACATACAAATAGTGGCTACTTTTATAGCCTTAGACATGCAGGCGGCTCAGTCTGTGTTGTGATAATAGGTAAAATCTCGAGCTGGAAAATTGTTACCTAGATCAATAAGCAGGAGTCAAATGGGCTGGCTGTTGTCTCACTACATTCATAAAAGAGAGAATGAGTGGTGGCCACAGAACATGACAAAATTGCCTGAACTCTATGCAAAATCAAACATATCTCACCACCTTCATTGCCACCACCTGGTCTCAGCCACCATCATTTCTCACCTGGCCACTGAAATCATCTTAGACTCCTTGGTTCTGCTCTTGTTCTGCTGCTCAAAGCAGTCAGGGTGAGCCTTTCAGCATTTAATTCAGATCATGTCATTCCTCTACTCACCACCCACCACCCCTGCACCAATGGCTGCTTTCTCAGTGTGAAATCCAACACCCCTACAATGGCCTTCCAGGTCCTAGAGACCTGGCCTCATTTCCCTTCTGACCTCATCTCCTCCTATGCCCCTCCTCAATCACTCCATTTCTACCATATTGACCCTCTCGCCGTTCCTTAAACATGTTAGGCATATTTCTATTTCAAAGCCTTGCACTGGCTGTTTACTCTTCCTGGAATGCTCTTCCTCCATATCCACATTGGCTCCCACTCTCATCTCCTCAAATCTCTGTGAAGTTCTCACCTATTCCATGAAGACCATAATGCCCACTTGTCCACCCTCTGCCTTAGCACTCCCAACCCTTCTCTACTTTTTCATTTTTTCCTGTAGTGCTTCAACTTTTCCAGATAATGTTCTTGTTATACTGATTGTTCATTGTCTGTGTCATTCACTAGACTATAAGCTCCTTGAGGGCAGGAATTTTTGTTGTTTGCTAATGTATCCCAAACACCTGGAATGGTACTTGGCACTTAGTAGACATGTAATAAATATTTGTTGAAAGAATGAATGAATAAAATCTCCATCTAGGATTGAATTGGTAACTTTACTTTCAGCTCAACTAACCAAAGGAAATCAGATATGCTCCACCCAGGGAAGGTTAAGATCCAGGAGATCCCATTGAGTAAAATGTTGTAACACATCACTGCTATGCTCTCTCTCTCCTGCGATATACGTATTGGGGAAACTGGGTTGGTAGATTTACTGTCATGAGGGGACTGTAGAAGGCAAAGGGCCTTGGTTGGAGGGTGTTTTGATTTTGGATTGTACATATGCTTGTGGGTCTCTCACATGTCACTTGATGCATATCAGTAGAGGTTCTGGTGCCTAGTTTCTAAAGCACCACATAATCAGGACCCAACTCATCTAACTATCCACCATTTCTCCTCACTGAGCGAATGGGGGTCTGACCGTGCGTGAGGCTGAGAGAGGAGCCGGGGACAGAGCTCACTCTCTCTCACCATGGACTTTTCCTGGCAGCCAAGATGATGAGATGGAAAAAGGCAGACCAGTGGCTACTCCAGAAATGCATTGGCGGGGTCAGAGGGATGTGGCGCTTCTGTACCTACCTCAAGGGCAGTGCAGGTGGGTTCTTGGAGATCTTCCTGGGGTCTTTGCAAGTTCTCAACAGTTTTTAGGATGCCCCAGAGCACTTACTGACAGTTCTGTGTGTCTATGGTGAATATAAAAATTTACTTATAATGCAATTTGAGTAAAGTCTTTTAAAACTGGGATTCATAGTGTAGGTTAGGGCAAACGCATTCTGAGTCCCTTTCGCTCACTCATTTGTTCATTCATTCAACAATGGCGATTGAGCACCACTCTCTGGCAGCCACTGTGCTGGTAGGTGGGGATACAACGGTGAATGAGAGCTATACTAAATCCCCACGTCATAAAGCTGCCACGGTGGTGGGGAGACAGATAAGGAACAAGTAAATAAATAAATCCTGGTGGCGAAAGTGTTGGGATGCATCGCTTTCTGCTCTATTGGGTCCAGTAGTTGGTGGATACTGGGAGGCCAACAGCTTGGACAGTTCAGTAATGTTAAGTTTTACTCAGGGACAAGCCCTGGTTTAAGGGTGAAATCCTGGATCTCCAGGGAACATGGAGGGAAGAACTATCATTCAGTGTGTCACAAGGACTTCAGCCCTGACAGTTACGAAACAGGGAACATAGTGTTTGGCACATTTTGGCCCGAGTGCCCTTCTGCTAGCTACTCTGGGTCCAAAATCTTGGAAGTTTGCTTTTCCCTCTGTCTTTATTTTTTGGACCAAACTCAAATGTCTCATGATCCATCTTCAGAGTCGTGCCGTTTTTCTTAAAGTGGCAGTTTTTCTAACAAAAAAGTCACAAAAGATCCCTATCCATGAATTCCCTTCCCCCATGACTCCCATCTGCCCCCATATTAGGACATTTCTGGAGATGGTGCCTTGACCCAGAGGAGTGGCTAATGTTGGAGGCAGTAGAGCAGGTGGGTGGTGGGGGTATCAGCTGCCACACCCAGATGCAACCCCTGAAGGGGATAGATAGGGGTGTAGCTCTGTGCCTCCCCTGTCTGATCTGTAGGTGAAGAGCTGGTGGATTTCTGGATCCTTGCTGAGAAGATCCTGGGCATAGATGAGATGGACTTGGAACTGAGAGACCACTACCTATCTCTCCTCCTCCTGCTGAAGGCCACCCATCTTCAGGAGGGCTCACGGGTCGTGACCCTCTGCAACATGAACATCAGTGAGAACTACAAAGCGTATCTGAAGTAAAATCCCTGGGGGATGTAACCAGAGAAATCAATCCAGTGTCTGATAGCCCTCAGTCTCTGGCTTTGCACACTGCCACCCTTTCCATCTTCTATGCATCAGGGATGCCAGTGGGAGAACCAGCCCATAACAGGGGAGGGATAGGAGAGACTATTTGTCCTTAGGCTGATACTGGCCTCTTCCTGAGCTTTTACTTGCCAGTGATGTTTTGCTGGATGGAGTGAAGAGGAATTGGAACAAGGTAATTGCATACCTCCTCCATCTTCTGAGCCTGCAGGGCTTGTCTTTTTTTCTTTTTCTCTTTTTTTTTTCAATTGGGATTCTTTAGAATAAACTGCATCCCATGGGTCAAGTGAAGTACATGTGGCCAATGAACTAAGAATGTTTTTATATTTTTAAAGGGTTAAAGAAGACAAGTGTGCAACAAAGACTGTAGGTGGCGCACAAAGCCTGAACTATTTACTAGCTGGCCCTTCACAGACAAAGCCGCCAACCTCTTCTCTAGAACACCCAGTGAGGAGGCATTGCTAACCCAAACACAAATGTGTTCCAGATTTGCTCTTTGGAATTAGTCACGCTACTCTTAATTCATAGAGATAATTGAGAATTGATGGCATTAAAATCAGGGCTAATAAAGACTCCTTCAAATTATTGTCCAAAGTCCTTCCTCCTGTCAGATCTGATCCCGAGAAATCCCATTCAGAGGTACATGTTCTTACACAAGTTTTCATGTGATGTTTGCTTTTCTTTACAATAACATTCTATAGTCTAAAAAATAACTTGAAGAATCCCCTAGAATGACTTATCTGGGGAAAAAGGAAGGTAATCAGAGAAAGGGGTCACTGTGCTGAGCAAATCGTAAACTTGCATCCACCATATATTTGACCTCTTCACATCCTTGGGTTGCGTGAGGAACCAATGAAATTCTAATCAAAAAACATTCGGAAAAACTTCAAAAGCTCACTGGCGCCACATCGGTTTTCATCTTCCATCTCTCTGCCTTCTTTCCAGAGTCTCTCCTGAACCTTTCCATCTGGCATCCCAACCAGTCAACCACCAGGCGGGAGATCTTGAGCAACATGCAGAAAGTGGCTTTGTTCAAACTCCAGAGCTATTGGCTTCCCAACTTTCACACTCATGCCAAGACCATCATAGCTAAGGAGGATTCATGCCAGCATCTGATGCAAGAGTATGAGACTCGCCAGTGCAGTCTTTGCTGTTCCCATTTAGCAGAGCTCCCTCTTAACATGAGCATCAAGAAGTCCTGCCACCCCCAGAGGTGGTACTCGAGCAGGAAGATCAAACGGAAGATGTGGCAGTTGATAGATCATGCCTCGTGGTCTCTAGAATTGGATACCAAGCCAGGTGACAATTCCACGTCCTCCCAGAAGATCTCTCCTCAGAAGAAAGTGGTTGTACACATGCCTTCCCTGAAAACGGCCTCTTCAAAGGAGGGAATAACCAGTTCCCTGGAAAAGGACAGTCTCAGTGCCAGGAAGTCCACCATGAAGAAGAAAGCCAAGAGCCATCTCCACATGGAGGGCCTCTTTGAGACAAAGATCTCTACCCACCTGAGGATGGCCACCCCCATCATCCGTCACTCCCCCCGTTTGACCATCAAGGGGGCCATCAAGAAAAGACTCTCCTTGGGGTACACCCACTGGGCCTTGTGTGCTGATGCCTTTGCAGGGAGTCCCTTCCGGGACCACCTGAAGAAGCTGAATTTGAAAATGGAGATCCAACTCCTGGACCTCTGGCAGGACCTGCACCATTTCCTCAATGTCCTGATGAATAATAGGAAGACTGGGAATGCCACCTTTTGGCACATACTGGGCAACCGGATCTGTGAGCTCTACCTGAATGAACAGATTGGTCCACGCTTACCACTCAAATCCCAAACCATTGAAGGTCTGAAGGAGCTGCTGCCTTCTGGGAATATGAACCCCTGGATACCCAAAGCCCAGGAGGAGATCTGCCAGGTAGGTCACACCTTACCGAGATGGGTTAAGATCTGAAAGATTGGGTCAAAACTGACCTAAAATCCTATCTGCTCATCTATACTAAGTTAATGATATAATTACCCATATAACCCTTCACCTATTGAAGAGTCTGTTAATTTTTTAGGAGCAGGCTGTACAGATTCCCAAGAAACAGCCAAAACTCCAAAGTAGAATGGAGATGGGGGAGTGGTCAATATCCACCTTTTATTCCTTCTTCAGTTCCCCCTTATGTAGAGTCTCCCAAAACCATGAACCTCTGAGTGTTCCACTGAGGGAAGTTTTAATAACTCTGTTCTGAACATTGTGTATTAGAATGCAAGGTCTTTCTTTCCTAGAATAGCCAACAAGAAAACGGCCAATGGAGAAGGGTTTATTCTTATCCCAAAACATGAGATAAAAGCAGGAGACCATCCTAAAGACTCAAAGGAAGTAAGGCCCATTGCTTGATTGTTGTATCATCAAGATCTTGGGAGAAAAACAAATGGCAGAGTCAGCTGGGAAACAGATGAGCATCCAATAAAAGGGACTAATTACAAGGTAGTGGGCGTGAGAGTAGGGAAACTACAGAGGATAGTGCAGTACCCCAGGGCCAGTAATGGTGGATCCCCTTTACCACACTTAGGCCAGAAGAGTTGAGGAGAGGGAATAGTTCCCAGAAGAGCTATATGGAATGGAGCGCTCAGCAGGAGCTGTAATTGTCAGTAGAGGGATGTAGCCAGTCCATAGTGATCTGGCTGGGAGGAACCAAGGGGAATAGATATCGGCTCCTGCCTTCCCATCTCCTGTCTGGATAAACCCAACCAGACGTCATGGGAGCTTGTTGATGTGGTCCATAAAGGTTAATTTCCCAAGGCATAAGCCCGGTAAAGAAAGGGTAGAGAGTCGATCTGGAAGGGCAAATAGATGTAAGTAGCAAGTTTTTTAGTGCGTTACAATTTATTTACCCTATAAAACACATTACCTCCTCAAGGCCTCCTAGCACCTCTCAGAGGCATACAGGGTAGTATTGTCATTTGTACAATGAGGAAAGTGAGACTCAGAGAGGGTAAGTGGATTAGCTCAAGGCCCACAGCAGACTGGTAGAGGAACCAGGGGGCAGAACCCAGGAGTTCTTGGCTCTAAGTCCAGCACAATTTCCAGTACAGAATAATTATCGAGGGTTGCACATCTGGGTTGTATAGGACCAGATCAGTCCAGTGGATCCACAGCCACAGCTCTCCTGCGCACAGTTCTTCAGTCCTGGAAGCCTAGAGGCCCCCTACCTCTTGTGAAATGTGTTCCCTCCTCTCCGCTCCCAGGGAACTTTGCCCACACCTCTATGGTGGCAAGTGCCGTCATGCTAGAAGGTGAGCTCCTCGAGAACCAGGCTTGCAGCATATTGATCTGTATATTCTCAGCAATGGGCACGGTGTCTGGCACGTGGGCGGCACTGAGAAAGTACTCATCAGATAAATAAATGAATGAATGTGAGGGTATAGATAGATTAACCTAGCTAAGCACTAACGCATAGCTTTCTGTTGTTATTATTATTGGGCTTTGTTTACTTATTTTAATGTCATGAAATAATTTTCACAAGTGGGCAAGGTTTTCAAGGAGGAGATATTAAGAAGATGGTTGGTTTTCAGGACCATTTTGAGGATCAGATGAGATAGTACTTTGTAAAGGAACAAAGATTTAAGAGGTGTCAAATAACTGTCCTTCAGTAAACTTTGTTGTACCTCTTCTTAAGTATCGGTTACTATCCTCTGAGGTTCAGAGAGAGGCTGCATGAGCTGCAAATTTAGAAAGACAGAGGAACGTCCTGGTTGGTCATGGCTAATGTTTGCTGTTCCATTGTATCTCCAAACTAGAGACTCCGGAATCGGCAGCCTACACTTCTCCCAGGTAAACAACCAGCAGGCTGAGCACACCTCCTAACGCTTATGTCCTTATGTCTTGTTTGAATTGCAGATGCTCAGCTCCTGGTATGATGAATTCCTGAATGAAGAGGACTCCTTGTTTCTCACTTACACAGTAAGAGGGGCTTTGAGTTGGGGACAAATCATAAGGTTGACAAGGTTGAGGGGAGAAAAGAGAGTAACTGCTCTTTTAGAAGCCTTATTCGTTAAAGTAAATGAAAGTCTGATGTGGTTTTTTTTTTCCTAGAGGCTACTGGGGGGTTTGACATGGTCCCTGATGCTTAAACATAAAGCTCTCAAGGCAAAAGACTCAAGTGCCTAAGCTGACTTTAAGAGTCACATCGAATTTCTCCGTTATAGGAAATGGGTTTGCAATGGATCTGAGCAAATTGAAAACCACCAGCCTCAGTCCGCCTGACAGGGAGACACAGGAGGACGGGGCTGTTACAAAAGTCTTGCTTCTGGTCTAGTTCCTGTAGCAAATATTGTCTGTCCCCCTCCCCCTTCTCTTAGACTCAGACCAATGTCAACCACACGAGGAAGCATAAGAAAGACTCTATAAGCAAACAAGAGAACATTCTTCTTTATAAGAGATTGGAGGAGTCCCTGGCATTAAGCCAGGGTCTGGCTAACATGGAGGAAATGGATTCTGTGCAGTGGAGAAAACTAGCTACTGAGGACCTGAGACATGACGGGTCTCTTCGGGTAGAACTGAAGTCTCCAGTATTTCTGACAGGTGAGGGCCGTCACCATAATTTTTTCGACCCCTGACACATAGGCATCTGGGAACTATGGAGTGTTAACATCTAGTGATTGTTTACTGTGTGTCAGCACTGTGCAATGCAGGAAGCAGCCGATGGATGTTTCACTCTCGCATCAATGGTTCTCTCTCCCTCTCCTTTCCTCTCTCTAAAAATCAATAAAAAAAAATTCTTTTTAAATAACACTCAACTCTTGAAATCTTTGCCTTGCACGGTGCACTTTATATACAAAACAAGATGCCCTGGACGCTGGCCCCTCAGAGCTGTGCCTGAGCATGAGTTATTTAAATCTACCGTGATCAGGCCCTCTGTTTTACCTAGAGTTTCACCTTCTCTCTAAATCCCGAACATTCCAGAACCTCTCCCAGAAATGTAGAAAGAAGTGGGAGAAAGGGTAGCTGGTAAATATCACCACACCATACAGGGCAACAGGCATTTCTTTAGTGTCAGGGGCAGCCAGGAAGAGGGAACCACCCTCCATGGAGACGCCCTCTCCCCTCACCCCCCGACCCCTCGCCCGCAGCACACATGATGGTTTCATCCGCCGCTGCATTTTTTGAACAAGGGTCTGACCTGATAAGGGCCTCCTGTGCATTGTCCATCTTGGAGCTCTGTCTGCTCAGGAGGCTGATGCCTCTACTCACGCTGCTCCAGAAACTCACAGAGCACCAGAACTAGAGTGCTCTCCGCTTTCATACAGAGGAAATCAGTCCCACAGAGGTGGAAAGGTTGCCCAAAGCTGCTCAGCAAGGGAGGACTGGAAACCTAGATCTTCTACAGAAATAAGCCACTGTTCTTGCACTTTACAGCCAGACACCCTTGGCTGAGAGGCGCTATTGACAACAGTGGCAATTGTCATAAGGACAACTGACATCTGTAGTCCACACGCTAGGATTCCTTCTGGACTTCACCAGTATCACTCAGAAAGCACTAGACTGCCCTGGGAGTTCCAGGACAACTGTGTGTGCCTGGGCAGAAGGTCCCCACAGGTCAGTTGTCTCCAAGAAGGACAGAATCCTCCCACGCTGGAGGGGTGGCCCACGGTCTTTCCTTGCTTCTAATCTGGCTTAGAGAACTTGTGCTCCTTGCATATAGACATTCCATTAGAACATTACCGTCGTACTTAAATAACCTTTAAAAAGCAATACTTTCAACAAAAGTATATAAATCTTTGACCCCAGAGTGGTCAACTAGACTCTCCCCTCTTTTTCTCTACTTGATAGATATAGAGAAAATGTCCTTTGAGGAACTCTGCTACAAGTATCCAAAGGTGGCCATAGAGAAGATAAGTGAGGACTACAAAATATATTGTGAAAAAGCACCTACTAGTAAGATGGGTAAGTGTTTAAACCCACAGAAAGATTGGAGACAGCCTAGTACGAAAGAATCTCCCAACGCAATGAGCCAAAAACCAAAAGGGGAACCATGCTTTGTTTGAAATGAGGGGTGGTCAGACTTGTCTCCCAGCTCCTGCCCCCTCCTACAAAGTCATAGAAGGGCATCATGAAAATGAGATGTGATGATAAGTGAACGAGGATGAGGATGAAAATAGTTAATTTCTACCTTCTTGCCTAGTTATTACTCTGGGCTTTTAAATAATGCAGATTTATCTTCTGTGATGTTCCCTGGAGTCAAAGATGTATAGAAGGAGGTTTGTTGGGAATAACACCTGTAAGGGAATGAGGAAAGCAGCACTGGGCAGAGGTAGGCACTGACTGTTACGCGGTTACAGTAGACCTCCTCAGATCCCCTAAGAAGCTGGAGAGCCAGGTGGCACTTCAGCATGGTCCCTCACTGAGGCAAGGGGCTTTTATAACGTCTGTATCAACTCACATGGGGTGTGGCTGTCCCTCAGGAGGGTCTGACCTTGGGTCAGGCAGGGCCCTTTGTTGGAGGCAACTCCCAGAATGAGTTTCAAGACTTCCTGCATTTCTGACTTGTCCTTTGTCAGTTTTAGAAAAATTCCAGTTATCTCTTCAAGTATCTGCCCTGTTTCATCCTATTTCCTTCTGATAATTTTACTACACATATTTTTAAAATATATATATATATTTTATTGATTTCGGAGAGAGAGGAAGGGAGAGGGAAAGAGAGATAGAAACATCAATGATGAGAGAGAATCATTGATCGGCCGCCTCCTGCACGCCCCCTACTGGGGATCGAGCCTGCAACCTGGCCATGCACGCCCCCTACTGGGGATCGAGCCTGCAACCTGGCCTAACTGGGAATTGAACCCGTAACCTCCTGATTTCTAGGTCGATGCTCAACCACTGAGCCACACTTCCCAGGCCACATATTTTTGACGTTTCAGCCACATTCCCCATGTCTCATATGCTTTACTCTGTTTTTTCATATGTCTTTTTTCTCTCTTTGTTTCAGTATAGATATTTTCTTTGGGTCTTACTCCTAGTTCAACAATCCTCACTCAGCTATTTATAATTTGTCATCCTACCCATTTCTTAACTCTCAATTTTCTACATTTCAGTCATTAAACCTTTTATTTTTAGAATTTATTTTTTTCCTTTTTGCGATACTCGGTCCGTGTTGATATTTTTTTTTCTCTTTTAATTGCTTACATTGAATGAATAGTAGTAATTTTCAAGTCCATATTTGGATTTCCTGCCATGTTTTTTTCAAGTGTCATGTGTCTTTTTTCTCCTTGGTGTTTGGTCATCTTTGGAAATGCCTTGTTATTTCTGCTTTATTTGTGAACGCGCTGTTGGTACAAGTTTGTATCAACTCACATGGGGTGTGTAGGGGTGATTTGAGGCTCTGGGTGCCCTTACTGTCCTCAAGGGAGGGTTTGCTTTACTTCTGACACACACTGAACAGGCGCATCCAGATGACCTTCACCCACTGAGGGTTAGAGCTGGTTCAGAACTAGCTTCCATGCCTTTTGATGGGTGAGCAAGTTCTGGTTTTCCTTCCTTTTGAGGGGGTGGTCCCAACTAAAAGCCTGGGGTGCTCTTCAGGGCCTTTTCTCCTTTGCTGTTTTGCAGTTTTGCTGTCTTTTACCTTGAGAGCCCACCAAAAAGTTCTGTATTTCTCAGTAACAGTTGTCATACTTGTCAAATGCCTTGAACGTAAAAGCAGTGGCCAATGGGTTTCTCTGCCCATTTTCTAAGGGCACACGGCTTTGTCTTCAGTCCTCTTCTGGCCTTGAACAGGGCAAATGCCTCCAGGGCAGATGCACTGTTGGTGTCAGCTTACCCTCTGGCTTCTAACCTTCTCTTTGCTTCTGATCCCTAAGTTTCTATTTTGGTTTGTAGTATGTCTTACAGGCTTCCTTAGAAGTTTGAACGCGTGTTACTCTTTTAGCCAGCATTTCTAGGTGTTTTTTATTGGGAGGTTTCTTGGGGTTCTTTGGTTTGTTTTTTAATATCTGGTCTTACATTGTCTGGGTTGTACTTTTTCACCTATTCAATTGCGTATTAGACTCAGTATATGTTTCTACTGTTTTCGATCCTTTGGCATATTATCTGTCACTGAACGTGTTACCAAACCAGACAGAAATGTCCTATGTGTGTGTGGGGTGGGGGGACATTCTAGTTAATAAATAGTTTATAAAGGATTTACTATAACCAGGCCATGTTCTAATTTCTGGAGGGGCAAGATGAGTAATATGCCATCCCTGCCCTTGCAAAAGTCTGCATTATTTTCTACGATATTAACGACCTCAAAAGGCTCTTTGAATACTAAAATGCTTGGAGCCTGTCGTTCTTAAAAAGTAATGTTTTTAACATATTTTTGAAATAATGGTTTCTAAGTGGCAATAGGGCACCAGACACCCACTCCAAATTGTGTACTATTGTGTGACAGAATACCACTTGAGAAGTTCGCTGTGCAAGCAGTGTCCTCAGGAAAGGGAATGGTTTCTGTTAAAGCCAGAAGATGGGGGGAACTCTTAATGAGGAGGTCAAGCAAGAATCCGTGAGTTTGCCCTAGCTGGTTTGGCTCAGTGGATAGAGCGTCGGCCTGTGGACTGAAAGGCCTCAGGTTCGATTCCAGTCAAGGGCATGTACCTTGGTTGCGGGCACATCCCCAGAAGGGAGTGTGCAGGAGGCAGCTGCTTGATGTTTCTCTCTCATCCATTATTTCTAACTCTCTATTCCTCTCCCTTCCTCTCTGTAAAAAATCAATAAAATATATTTTTTAAAAAAAGAATCCGTGAGTTCACTGATGACAAAGCAGGGGCTCCAGAGGACAAGTGGAAGGGTTTCGGAGGAGGCAGCAGAGGTGTCCGGGGAGACTGTCACGTGGAGTACGGTCTAGTAAAAATGACTGATTGGGGAGAGATGCTGTTTGGTGCTGAAATGATAAGAAGTATGATGGAGTAGGTCTCAGCAGTTTTCTAAGGAAGGTGGGCTCTAGGCCTAATAGCCAGCAGATGTAAATAACACAGCCTGGACTGAAAGTAGGGTCAGGGGTTAGAATCCTCCCCAAGTCTCTTATGCCCCAATGGCCCATGCACTCCCAGCACTAATGGCCTGAGATGGCAGCAGTTGTGCGGACTGTGGTTTTCCCACATGCACTCTTGCTACTTTGTCCCTTCTTCTTCTCTGCAATGTTCTTTATAACATGGTGTTGCCCAATGTTGTGACTTCTCATTAGATTACCAGTATAAAGTCTATCGTCAGATAATTACCAGAGAACCAAGGACACATTCACCCCCACATAAGGACGCGTCCGTAAAAAAGATTCCTCTTGTAAGGAAGCCTTCACATGGACCCAGGTAAGACATAGGATCTGGTGACACCAATATCTCCAGGCACAGCCCTGGGGTTCAGCATGAGCCTATTTTTCTGTGTTAATGTCCACACTCTTTTCCATATATCGCATATACATGCACAAGCATACTAAGTATTTTAAATCACTGTATGTTTTTGAAACCTGGCACCATGCAATATGTATTATACAATAAGTTTTTCAACATAGCAAACTATTATGGACATCCTTTCATGTCAATATGTATACAGGTCTACTTTCTTCCATCGAATGGATGGAGCATGATTTATTTAACTATATGTTTTTCATGGATATTTATGTTATCTTCAATTTTTTATTGCTATCAGCAGTACCATAATATTCGTCTTTGTACATGTGTCCTTGCATATTTGTGTTTTCTGGGTTGCGTGTGACTGTAGAAGCCTCTTAACTGGGTCCTTACTTCTTGTCTCTCCCCCTCACAATCAATCCAAGAGTCGGCCTCTGGTAAGATCCCACTGCTGGCAAAGACGCTGTGGCCCGTGCTTTCAGGAGTGCCCCCTCACTTTATCCACTTTTCTTAGTACAAATGCCACCTCTACATAGAAGTTATCCAAATGTATGACTCCCTCTCCTCTGAAACACTAAATCCCTAAAATATAACCGCAAACACTTACCATGCACTATTTTGTACTGCTCTTGATTTTTTAGGTATGTTGACTACCTTCTTGACTAACATTTTCTTGTAAGCCAGGACATTCATTCAGTCATTCATTTGTTATTTATTTACTTAATTAATGATGTTTGTTTGTTTTAAATATATTTTTGGTGATTTCAGAGAGGAAGAGAGGGGGAGAGAGAGAGAGAAACATTAATGATGAGAGAGAATTATTGACCGGCTGCCTCCTGCACGCCCCACGCTGGGGATCAAGCCCACAACCCGAGCATGTGCCCTGACCGGGAATCGAATGGTGACCTCTTGGTTCATAGGTCAGTGCTCAACCACTGAGCCATGTCAGCTGGCCAGTCATTCATTTTTTTAATTCACTATCTATTAATGACTAGTGACATGGAGAGTTCTCTCACAGAGGATAGAGATAGATTAGCACGTACAAGTTTGGTAGTCAACATCGCTAGCAGAGTATTTGCAAAGAAAAGTTCCCAGAAGTATGTTTTCAGTTACTGTTAGCCTTCACAGGGGCTGAGAAGCCCTCTGTCGCTTCTAAATACTCTAGAGAGGTTTTTCCTCCCTTTCAAGGAACTGAAATTAATCCCTGAGGTTTAATCTTTATTCCGTTTGATATTCTAATTTGTACTACTTGCTACTTTTCACTATATCTACAGAGATTCGTATTTTCCAAATTAGTTGAAAATGAGTATCACAGAAGTCTTTTCTAGATCATATATTTATAAGATCATTAAATTCTAGAAGGACTATGCAGGGTTATATAGTCTAGTTCAGTGGTCGGCAAACTGCGGCTCGCGAGCCACATGCGGCTCTTTGGCCCCTTGAGTGTGGCTCTTCCACAAAATACTGCGTGCGGGCGCGCATGTACAGTGAGATTGAAACTTCATGGCCCATGAGCAGAAGTCGGTATTTTGTGGAAGAGCCACACTCAAGGGGCCAAAGAGCCGCATATGGCTCGCGAGCCGCAGTTTGCTAACCATTAGTCTAGTTTCACGACTCCATTAGGACCACAGCAGAATGATCCAGGTATACCACAGTTACAACTCTCTTAAACCTTGCCCTTAGTCCAAATTCAATGTACTGAACAGTTTTTGATCATACACAGTGTCCCAGACACACTGTGGATACTAATGATACAAATAAAGACATAGTCCTTGCCCTTAATCCAGTACATAACTAAATAAACTACAATACTGACCTTTAAATGTCATGATAAAATATTGATTAATTGCTATAAGAGCATCATTGAAGGAGGAAATTTTGCGTGAGGGTTAGGAAAACTTAGAATATCAAAAGAGGCCCTGATCTGCATGGAGCAACTCAATTGCAAAGAAAGGGAGTGTTTTGTGGGCAGGGCTAAATCTTCTAAACTGAAGAAATGACACGAAGAAATGAACTCAGAAGTGTGAACGTGGTATTTGAAAATAGTCCAGTGGTGTTAAAGCACAGAATACTTAGGGAGAATTTAGACATAAAATACAAAATTAGAAACCTAGATTGAGATTAAAATAACTGAAAGAAGGTTTTGAGTGAATTATTAAGGAATTTGTGTTGATTAAGTGGCAATAAGGATTCATGGGGGTTTGTTGGAACAGGAGTAGCAAAAAAAAAACACACCCTATTATATGGATTTTTAAAATACTACTCTGGTAAGCATAGTAATAGTATGATGAGTCAGAGACTCAGACTAAAGGCAGAAATAATAGTTGGAAGGTTGTGGCAGTTGTTTGGGCAAGTGATATTAAAGACCTGAAGTTAAAAGTGGAATCCTATATAATAAAAGTATAATATGCAAATCGACCAAACAGCGGAACAACTGGTCGGTGAGCAGGTGGTGCCAGGCCAGCCAAGGCGCGTGCCAGTGGGCAGAGGGAGGGGATGGCGATGGGGTAGGTGGAGGGTGGCGGCAACCAGTGGCAGGGTGATGGGGGCTCATGTCAACCCCTGATCACCTGCCCAGTCACCTCCTACAGAGGGAGGCCACGGGCAGTGACAGTAGCAAAACGATTCAGGGCGAGGCAGGCCACTCGCCATCCCCAGATCTTGCCATCCCCAGATCAGCCCACAGGGGTCACCTCCTGCAGAGGGAGGCCAGACTGTGGCTTAGGCCCACTCCTCTGGGGGAGTGGGCCTAAGCCGTCAATTGGATATCCCCTGAGACTCCTGGACTGCAAGAGAGCACAGGCCGGGCTGAGGGATCCTCCACCCGAGTGCACAAATTTTCGTGCACTAGGCCTCTAGTAGATATACAATGGAAGATACAGATTAAAAAACAAAACAAAACACTGAAGGTGAGGAATTGGACTTCTGCAATGGTAGAGTAAGAACCTCAAAAAATTGTCTCTCCAATGGTAAAACTGGACAAACCTGTCAAAAATTTTAGAACTCTATAAATTATGTCATCTAAAATTTCAGTTAAAAAATTATGCATACCCCCATCTCCCCCCCCCCCCAAAAAAAAAAACACACATAGGAAAGGATGGCTCGTACACAGAGGGGAAAGAGCACTCATTAGAAACTTTTATCTTTGAAGTGATCCAGATATTGAACTCTAAGAACTTCTGAGCAATATGTTCAATGAATTAAAGGTTGTGACATGTTTAAAAAAAATTAAAGGGCCGAAACTGGTTTGGCTCAGTGGATAGAGCATCGGCCTGTGGACTGAAAGGTCCCAGGTTTGATTTCAGTCAAGGGCATGTACCTGGGTTGCGGGCACATCCCCAGTAGGAGATGTGCAGGAGGCAGCTGATCGATGTTTCTCTCTTATCGATGTTTCTAACTCTCTATCTCTCTCCCTTCCTCTCTGTAAAAAATCAATAAAATATATTTAAAAGTAAAAAAGAAAAATTAAAGGAAAGTATTATGATAATGCTTCATCAAATGAAAATATCTAATAAGATAAATATTATAAAATAAAACCAAATAAAACATTGGAAAAGTATGATAATTGAAATGAAAAATTCACTAGAAAGAATCAGTAGCAGATTTGAGTTGGCAGAAGAATTGTGAACTTAAAATTAGCTCAGCAGACATTATCCAGTGTGAAAGCATTACAAAATAAGAGACTTGGGAGACACCATCATACAAATAATGGAAATATCAGGAGAGAGATAAAGGGGCAGGAAAAATATTTGAATATGCAATGGTTGAGTACTTACTCAGAACATACTAGAAGCTGAATGAATCCCAAGTAGGATAAACTTAAAAATATTCACACCTAGGCACATTATAATCAAACTATTGAATTACAAAAAGACTAGAAACATAGTTTTACCATATCAATGAACATTGAGATCACAGAGGAGGTAAGAATTGGGGGCAGGGAGGGGAGAGGGAGGAGTCATAAGGCAAAATTTCAGAGGATTGAGAATGAAACATTAGGGGCACCTTTATTTAAGGAACAGTGCAAAGGCAATTTAGAAATATTGATCAATAATTGCTGATCACTCTTGCTCTACCCACTGAAATGACTGCCAGTTAGGGGTTGTTTTGAATCCATAATGCAGAAAGAAGGTGGTTCTAGAAAAAAAAAAAAATTAGCCCCTTTAAAATACCTCTCGTCCTCTTCCATTAATGTTGGCAAATGATTGAACCACGCTTAGGATGGACAGATAAAAATTTATCTACAAGGAAATAAGAGTAACCAATTCATTCACCCTGATCTTCACACATAGTTAAAGGCCCCGCAGCCCGGGAGAAGCCCTTCCCCATTCCCTAAGTGAAACAGAATTCAGGGTCACCATCCATTCTCTCAACCAGTGATGCTTTCTTGTTTCCAGAAACCTGGCAGAAGTCTTTCGAAATGTACAGCACTTGGAGTACTTCACGGAATTCCTCAAAGAACGGAAGGCTGAGGGCCCATTGCAATTCCTGATGGCATTACAGAAGATCAGTATTGAGACAGATGAACAAGTCGCCAAGTCTCTTGTTGAAAATATAATGGAGACTTATTTCTCTGGCATAGTCCCTGCTGGTATGCAGCTTCCTCCTGATACTGTTTGCTTCTCCCTTTAGTATCATAGAAGAGTCTGGAAAAGAGCTGGTCTTGAGTCTCCTAAGGGAGCATAACAGAATAGCGGCCACATGGGGCAGTATTGAAACAGATTAAGAGGGATAGTGAAAGCAGAGAACAACAATCAATTAGAAATATTGGTAGTAAAAGAAGCCAAGTGCAAAACACTTGCATTTATATGTGAAATACATACTCTCAGTTAATTTTACCCTGAAAATAGGATTTTATTTAATCCCTAAAAGGTAGGGATAAATAGCTGTACTTAACTAATTCGGAAGGTGAAACAGAGGAGCTAACTTATCCAATTGGTGGAACTTGAATTCAAGCTCAAGTTGTTTGACCTTCAAATCAACTACACTGGAGTTAGATACAAAAGCGAGAGTAAACTGTATGCAAAGCAAGGGTGTCCATCACTCACCGGTTATAAAGGTAATTGTGCCAGGAAGCAGAGCTATCCCTTGGAAAATCCTCATAATTTTGCCTTGTTTTCTTGCCTAAAGTGGGAGGGTAAATCTGACGCTATAAATTCATTTGGCCAGAAGCAGAAGTTGCATGTAAAGTATTGACCTATAAGTCTGAAGGCAAACTAAAGAGGGTGAGCTTGGTTCCATCTTGGAGGTAAACAAGCCAAGTAATAAAGATGAAGCCTACTATTTTTTTTAATATATTTTATTGATTTTTCACAGAGAGGAAGGGAGAGAGATAGACAGTCAGAAACATCCACGAGAGAAACATCGACCAGCTGCCTCCTGCACATCTTCCACTGGAGATGTGCCCGCAACCCAGGCACATGCCCCCGACCGGAATCAAACCCGGGACCCTTCAGTCCGAAGGCCGACGCTCTATCCACTGAGCCAAACCGGTTTCGGCAAGCCTACTATTTTGACAGAGATGGTTGTGTGTGTGTGTGTGTGTGTGTGTGTGTGTGTGTGTGTGTGTTTTGCTTGTGGTCAACCAAGAAAGGTTATAGATCTTGTACAAGTCAAAAAAGAGGTAAAATTGGCAAATCTTGTAAGAAATGTTTGTTTATTAAGTGTCAGGATATCAAGTTCTGTACATTGTTTTGAATGAGCCAGAAGTGAACACCATAGTCTTTCAACAAAAATTGTATTGTCCTTACAATACTTACTTGTAATCTTGGATTTCTCATTTGCCTCAGCAATTAACTTTAATCCTTTACCTTTCTGCTCTCTTCCTGAACCAAAAACTTCAAATTAACTTCAGAAATGAGTCTTTTAAATATTTATTCCCTTTACACACTTATCTGAGATTTGAGTGGAACTAAACTAGAATAGGAACAGTATTTGCTCTACAAATACTCTTGCACGTAACACCTGAAGATGTGTTTGAGATTTTCAAGCAATCTGTGGAGAGATCAGTCTATAACCAGATTGAGAATAAGGGACTGTAAGACTCTGAGATGAAAAAAACACCAGCTACTTCAGAAATGATAGACGAGAGATGATGGCTTCTCTCCCCTCCCCTCCCCTCCCCTCCCCTCCCCTCCCCCTCTCCCCTCCTCTCTCCCCCTCTCCATGTAATTTTCTAGAAGAAGTGCTGCAGTGTGATGACCCTATCATCAGAGAAGTCTCTCAGAAGGGTCGTCTCAGCACAAACTCATTGTTGATCCTTCAGAGCTGTGTTATGAAATCTCTGGAAGAAAAGTGGTGAGTATCGCTTAGTGGAGGCAGTGAGCCTTTCTGGAGCTGCCCATTGGCTGCTGCAAGCCACATGATTCAAGTCTCATAATACACTTACAGAGTTCATCGTCAGAGCCTCCCTACAAAAGAAAAGCCAAACTTACCTTGAACCTTCTTACCTACCTACATGGATGTGTGGGCATGCACACACACACACACACACACACACACACACTCACACACACACACACACACACACACACTCTTACACACACACTTCTGTTCATTTGTCTGAACAGGAACAATATAGCATTGATGGGAAGGGCAGGCTGACATTAGCAAAGGATGGAAATATTAAGGAGACTATTTTTGACTATCTTGATGTTCCCCAATTTCTACTTTGACTTCCTCCAAAAGCAGAGATAGGCTTGCCTTGGCTGCGCCTGTTGGTGTGCCAGGCTTTGGCCTACTGTGACAGTCCTCACCTCCTCCTGCTAGGTTTAAAGAGTACCAAGAGCTGTTCCCAGATTTTCCTCAGGAAGTGCAAACTCAGATACTAACTGTGTATAGGAAGCCCTCGAAGACTTCATCAACGCAAATACAGGAACCCCAGGTGAGTGAGGAAGCCGCTGCTTAGGTATTGTCGCCCATACAAAACAGTTGCGCTGTTAGCTTATTCAGTCACCAAAACAACTACTCTCTGGGGTAGGTTTCTGAAACCCCATTTTATGAAGGAGGAATCTGAGTCTCAGAGAAATTCAGTGGGAATTTAAGGAAGTCACTCTCTACTGTCTTTGTGAGAGGCAGCAGGTACTGATGGAGATGAAAATGTCAGGTTTTTGTTTTTTTGTGTTTGTGTTTTGCTTGTTTTTTATTGCTGAAAGCTACTTTCAAGGACATGAATTGACCATGAAGCCGAAAGGGTTTGATCATCCTTTCTCTTTGACATTCACGTGTCCAGTCACGATAGCATAATGGAACAACTTAGGCCCCCACTTACCTGAGTGAGCCCCTTCCTGTATGAGAAAGGGCAGGCCTGAGCATGTGTCCTGAAGACAAACACTTCCCAGAGAGAGTGCAAAGGGCCCAGAGCAGGCCATACCTGCTTCCTTCTTCCAAACTCATCAGTCATCTAACTCATTCTTTCTCCTACTGGAGGAGATAAAAAGGGAAGAAAGAGAAGACAGGTATGCTATTCAGGAAAGCCTTCATAGGGTTGGAGAAAAAAAATAAAAAGAATCCTAAATAATCTCTTAAATAATCTTGGTTCAATGTCTTTTTTTTTTAATGCCCAGATATTTCTGAAAATCATTCCTAAGCCCATTGACCCAATACCCCAGGTATGGAAATGGGCTTCCCTGGCCTTTCTTCTTTGTATTTCCTCCATACATGAATCAACTCCATGTCAGGGTACCAGGAAAGATCACATAGGACATTGGAAAGAATACTGCACTCAGAACCCGATGCTTTGTTTTACTTTGAGGTCTTCCTGTTGCTCTTAGATAAGAAAAGATAAATGGAAAACCAACATGTACATAAGCCTACTTTGTGCTAAGTACTGTATTAGGGTTTTCATATATCATCACTAACCCTCACCACAACCATTTGTTTCTGTCTTACACGTGGAGACATGGACTCATGGTTTAAGTCAGTTGGCTCAAACTATATACAATTAGGGTGAGCTAGGTTCCAGACTCAAAGTTTCTGATTCTAAGTCCATGTGTGTTTGAACTTGACCTCCGGCTCTCTGAAGCCATGTTTCTACTAAGGTTACCTGCCTGTAGAACGAGACAACAAAACTAGATCAGCCAGATGCTTTCTGGCCCTCAACATCCATTTTTCAAGGGGTAAATGAACTAGAGAGAATGTTCACTAGGTCTCTGTGAAGAAATGGATGAAGAAACTTGCCAAATGAATTTGTGTGTGAGAGTGTACGAGCGTGTGGTGTATGAGTGTCTGCATCTAATTACTAGTTTTTCTTTTGTAAATGCTTAGAAATGGTTTCATTCATTTCCTTATTTTTTTCAACATTTCAAAATCTGCGTGCGCCATGATTCCCGCCTTGTGAGTCATACTTATCTCTGCCCTCTGTTTCTTCCTGTTTTTAGCTCGGACAAGTCCTTTCTCAAACACGGCAACTCAAACCTTCATTTGCCAATGGCCCCAGACATGCCTGGTTGAAGCCAGAAACTTCTCAGCAGCTGCTTAACCTGGGGAAGGTTATACAAGTTCTCTGACCTGAATTTCCTGGGCTTTTAACTGGGGCTTAAGATTAGTCCTTTTTAAAGGAGGTGTTGTGAGGATTGCATGTAAAGAATGTCGAGTTCCGGGGCGTAGTTGACTCTCAGTGGACAGCAGCTGTACTAACTATGTCATACCCTCTCTCTTTCCCCAGAAAAGAATCTGGCCGAAATTGGTCAGCTTTATCAAGAGCTTTTGTAAGTACCGCAGAAGCATGAACAATGCCAACTTGCGCCAGGAATTTGAAAAATATCTCCACCTGGAACTTAACAACAAGGAAAGTAAGTCACATGTCTGTCTGCTGTCCTTCCCTGTTGATTTCAGTAGCAGGGCTGGCTCAGAGAAGAAGTTGCAGGGGTATGGCTCTGTGTCATTCATGTCTGCATTAGCCCGGGGTCCAGCAAGAAGTCCAGGTTCTGGGTGCAAAGCCAAGCCCAGGCCAGCCTAGAGAGGATGGGAGTCCAGTGGCATCTGCTCAGGGACCCAGAAAGGGTGGAGAAGGACTAGGCTAAAGCAGTGTGAGATCTCACATTTTACCAAACTATTTGCTGATGTTGTTTGTTAGTAGTAAGAGATTTATTAAATTGTTTTGTTCATTCATTCAACGCCCTTTTTGAGAATGTGGCAGGCACTTTGCTGGGGATACAGTAGTGAGCGTGCAGCATAGGATCTGCCCTCAAGGTACCTCCAGTTTTGAGGGCAAGGCAGCAAGTAAGAGCCACAGATGTTGGAACCAGATTTCCTGGGTTTGAATCTGGCACTTTCTAATGGGAGGACCTTGTGAAAGTGGCTTTGTGCCTCAGTTTCCTCATCTGTAGAATGGAAATAATTGTGCCTGTCTCAGAGAATTGTTGTGAGGATTAGGCGAATATATATATCATCTTAGAACTATTTGGGGCAATGGTAAGTGCTGTGAAAGGGTTAGCCAGTATTCTTGCTATTATTATATCACTAGAGGCCTGGTGTACGAAATTCATGCACGGCAGAAGGGAGGGCGGCCCCTCAGCCCAGCCTGACCCTCTCGCAATCCGGGACTCCTTGGGAAATGCCAGACTGCCAATTTAAGCCCGATCCCTGGAGCACTGGCTTCTAACCACTCGCCTGCCTGCCTGCCTGATTGCTCCTAATTGCTCACCTGCCTTCCTGATCACCCCTAACCACCTCTGCCTCAGCCCCCGCCACTGCGGCTTTGTCTGGAAGGACATCTGGAATGACATCCAGAAGGTTGTTCAGCTGTCCAGTCTAATTAGCATATTATGCTTTCATTATTATACATTGTGATGAGTGATCCTATTGATGATTGCAGGGAGACCCTAATTAGTCCACGGGGAGGATCAGGAGAGAAACGTACCAAAAATGACATAAAGTTGAGTTTCAGAGATGAGCGAGTTAGGCAGGCAACATAGAAGGGAGTGATTTCTAGGTCTGCATATAATCCTAAAACAGGAAAGAGGGGATGGTGCAGATCAGGAACTTGAGGCCATTAATCTCCAGTTGGGCTGGAGATTAATGAGATGGGGAAAGTGAGATGAGATTAGCGGGTTTGAGAGTGACAGACCTTGTGTCTCTTTTGATGACTTTTGCGTTGTTCCAGCTGTCACTTCAACAAACAATGCTGCAAAACTTATTTTGCAACTGTCAGTTTCTATGAAATACATTTTTAAAAATGGAAGTAATGGGTAAATGGTTAAGAATAGTTCAGTTGTGGCCGTCTAAAACCACTGCACTAATTAAACTCTCACCAAGAGTATAAATGAAGGCCACGTTATCACCCACATGAGCTCTTATACATTTGTTAGAAATTGGCCGTCTGCTAGATGAAAAACAATGTACAGTTCTTATGTACATTTTTTTTAGTATTTGAGCACCTTAATTTATTGGTCATTTGTATTCTTTTTGAACTGTTTATATGTCCTTTGTCTATTTTTCTATTGGAATTGTAGTATTATTATTGTATTTCCTAACTTGCAAAAAGTTTTTGTATGTATGTCTTATGGACTGCTTCGCAAGCAAACATTTAGGATTTAAGAATAGTCCTAGTCCTGGCTGGTGTGGCCCAGTTGGATGAGCATCGACCCATGCCCCGAAAGGTCACCAGTTCAATTCCCTGTCAGGGGACATGCCTGGGTTTCGAGCTTGATCCCCAATAGGGGGCATGCAGGAGGCAGCAGATCCATCTTTCTCTCTCACATCAATGTTTCTCTCTCTCCCCCTTTTCATTCCTCTCTCTCTAAAAAATCAATAAAAACATATTTTAAAAAATTAGTTCTAGCTCTTTTGTTTCTTCTTTTAAGTAAAATCAATTCCACCTCTTATGCCCAGGATGTAGGAAGTCCAATTTCACCTTCTTTTGACTTCCTACATCCCCAGCATTGTATGGGAGCCCAAGAAAAAGACGCTCCTGCAACTCCACAGGAGATCTGCCCGACCAGTGGTCCACCACTACAGTCTTTTCCAGAATTATGTCCTCCAATTGATTGACCCATTTCTCATTATGAAAGGACCTTCTTTATCCTGGGTAATATTCTTTTCTCTGAAATGTACTTTGCCTGATATTAAAATAGCCACTATCACATTTTATTAGTGTTAGCCTATGTGACTTTTTCCATTCCTTTCCTTATAACCTATTTAAAGCCTTACATTTAAAGTGTTTTTCCTGTAGCCAGCATATAATTGGCTCTTGCTTTTAAAAAAAAAAAAAATCCACCGTTATGACCTTAGCCCAGTTGAAAGCCAATTGTTAAGCATTTAGGTATTTTGTGAGCTAGTTGACAAACCATTGATAGATTGAAATCAACCATGGTGGGAGCATTTGCTATAGAAATAGGCAAATAAAACAGATCATATCTGCCCATCCCCTACCAGAGAAGACTTGTCAACCTGCCCCTGCATCCAGATTTCTTGGGTGGATTTGGCACGCTCTTTCCTAAAATCCCTGATGATCATATCAATTTCCACTGTTATTCAAACTCTTTTTCCCTTCAAATGCAAGTCTCAAAGACAGAGAAAGAGAGACTGTAAGATAGTCGGGAGAGACCTTATGCTTTGTAACCCTAGGACCTAGCACAGTGTCTGGGACACAGAAAGTGAGAGGTATTTACTGAATATTGTAGTCACCCTCCCATCAGAACGAATCCCACTAGGACTAGACAGTTTCTTACCGGTAAACCCAGCCAGGCAATGAACTAGGGCCTACTTGTCAGATCCAGCCCAACACTATTCTCTCCTAAGCCCTGAATCCGTATGAGTGGGTTTCTTTTAATATATCCTCATCAAGAGACTTTCTAAAATAACTGCCTTGGTTTTCGGACACACAACCCAAACCTTGAAGGATCTTCTTCTTTATTCATTCCTGTCATGTTTCTACTCTAGCTTCCTACCCTCTGCTTCTTATTTAACTTCTTTACCCTTCCTGTTTTGGCTTTTCCTTTGTGCTTCTTTCCCAGTTTACTTCTAAACTATTTCCCTGATGAACCTCGAATAAGCAGCATCAGAACCACACACTCTACTTTGAAGGTCACCTCCGCATGTTCAGTTTCTGCAGCCATGCTAGAGATGGGCATAATTACAGTGCGCTCCTATCTCTATTAGACCAGCATCAGGAAGGCGCCTTTCAATACTTGGTTGATTTCTTTTTGGTATGTATGTTGTCATGCCATCTGAGCAGACGGCTTTTCCAGCAGTCCTCCAAGTCCAAGTGAAAGGTCGAGCCCCATGGGAGGCAGTCACTATTTCAGTAGGCCCAAAGGTGTGTCCGTCATCTTTCACTTTAAGTATGCCCAGATTGAAGGCTTCAGGCTTAAGAGGGACTTGCTCAAGCTAGATGTTAATTCCTTCCTCTTTCTTTTTCAGATTACCCTGCATCACCAAATGTACCAGCACGCCCCTCCCCACATCACTCAAATGTCCGGAGTGCAGAGGAGAATGGAGATGTAATCTTGATGAAGCGCCGTATATTTGGCCACAGGGTTATCACTGTCAACTTTGCCCTCAGTGATTTATATTTCTTTTCTGAAATGGAGAGGTAAGTTTCCCATCTCGCCTTCCCCTTGTGGCTTTTCATGCTTAGTGCCTCCTGGCAAAGACTGGCACAGTGATTTCTGTGAAAACCTCACTGAATGCTGTCACTGTATCAGTTTCCACCATTTTTTCCTTTTTCATCCTGAAAGCTCTTTAATATTCTGGAGTTCCAAATATTGAAATGCACTTACTTATACCTGGGATGTGGAACCCTTTTGTTCTATTATTTAGTAAAATGATAGAAATCCTCTTATGTATTGGACCAATAGTTATTTTTTTTTAATTTATTGATTTGAGAGAGAGAGAGAAAAACATTGATTTATTGTTCCACTTAGTTATGCATTCATTGGATGACTCTTGGATATGCCCTGACCAGAGATCGAACCTACAACCTTGAAGTATTGGGACAACTCTAACCAACTGAGCTACCCGGTCAGGGCTGGACCAGTAGTTCTTTAGTTAAAGCAAGGAATTATAATAATTAAGGTTGTGTGTGTATGACATTTAACAGATATTTTTAAGTTAAAACATATAAATGTGCATTCACTCAGCTACCAAACTTTTGATGTAAAGCCAAAGCCATTCCACTAATTGGGGGCTCACATATTTTTCTTGTATAGACTATGCCTAAAATGCTATCTACTAATTCTAAAAATTGTTCTCTTGTTAAAGTGGAGCAAGAGCCCTAACCGGTTTGGCTCAGTGGATGGAGCATCGGCCTGCGAACTGAGGGGTCCCAGGTTCCATTCTGGTCAGGGGCATGTGCCTTGGTTGTGGGCGCATCCCCAGTGGGGGGTGTGCAGAAGGCAGCTGATTGATGTTTATCTCTCATCGATGTTTCTGACTCTCAACCCCTCTCCCTTCCTCTCTGTAAAAAAATCAATAAAATATATTAAAATAAATAAATAAAGTGGAGCAAGAACTTAAAGGTTACTGCAAAGCAACTTAAGCCTTCCGGATTTTTATACTTATCTTTTAAATGTTTGTAATCGCCTTGCTATACGTAACTCCATAGCAATTTTTTAAAAAGCAATTCGACCTTTATTGGAATATTCCAAAGCATTCCAATCTGTTTTCACAGAAACAATGAATACCTTTATTTTCACGTTTGTATTTTGTTAATTTTCATAAATGATGAATTATAGTAACAAGTACAGCAGGCAAAAACATTTGGGAAGAAGTACGAAGAACTTTCAGTAAATGCCTGTCTTAGCTAGTGGGGACAGTGTGAGCTTGTACAAGGAAGGTACCAGCAGCGTATGGAGTCAACTTGCCGCTGTGCTTTTCGGAAGCGCGGAGCGCTGGTAACGCCGCGCATCAATTCGGGTTAAGAGCTTTTCCACTGCACTTCGGTGAGGGACCAGGCTCAGTTCCACGAACACCTATAGATTGCTTGATTATTCTTGGCTCTGGATTTGGCATTGGAGATCCACAAAGTACAAATAAGACATGCTCTCCGTCCTCCAGGATCCCACAGAGAGAAGGATGGCCGGAAGGACACCAAGTTAGGACGTGTGATGCTGTGGTAGAGTCAGGAAGTGCATTTAGACAGCTGAGCCCTCGGGTGTGGTTTCATGGCAGACAAGTCACCTAAGCTGAAGTTTGAAGAATGAGGAGGGGGTTAGTGAGAATTTTTTTTAGAAAATCTGTGTAAGGGAGGGTTGAGTGGGGAACAGAAAGGAATACCAGTCAGGGTGAACAGCCTCCCACTGCCTCTCCAATTCCCGCTCTGCTTTCTCACTTGTTGGCTACACAGCAACCAGAGAGCCTGTGAACAGCGTCAACCAGATTAGAGCACTCTCCTGCCCAAAATGACCCAGCGGCTTCCCATTTCCACGGAATCAAGTCCAAACTTCCTCCCATGGCCTAAATGACTCTATGCAAGCAGGATATACCCCCTTGCATCTCAGAGCTCATCTCCTTCCTGCCACTCACCAACCACTTGCCCCAGGCTTCAGCTCAGAGGCTCCGGCCCCACCTCTGCCCCTCCCCACCCACCAAGCTGGCTTCACATGACTGTCTTTTTCTCATTGTTCCGTCTCAGTGCCTGCTCCCTTCCCAATTACATCATGCCCTTTTTCTGTCTTCATAACCTCTGAATATTTAATTAATCACCTATTTACTGTGCATCTTCTTCCCTCATTGACTGTGAGCTCCTGGAAAGCCGGCCTTTGTTTATTTTATTCCCTGATAAGTCCCTGCTGAGACCCTGCTCCTGGAACTGTGTCTGGCACAGCATAAACCCTGAATTAAAATATTCCTTGACTGAATACATGAATGGATATGGGAAAACCTGGTGTTCTACTATTAGGAAGACTTTAAATTGTTACAATTTTAAATGGCCCGGGAGAAGTCAGCTGTGTACTTACATCAACATAAGGTGTAACTGACAAATATTTGAGGGTCACTGAAAGCGTATGTTGCTAGGAGACAGAAAGTAGAGTGGTGGCTGCCAGGGGCTGGGGGAGGTGGCGAATGGGACAGTGTTTAATGGGCAAGGCGTTTTAGTTTGGGAAGATGAGAAAGTTCTGGAGGTGATGGTGGTGAGGATCACACAACCACGTGGACGTACTTCATGCCACTGCAAACACAGTTAAACTGGTACATTTTATGTTATGTATATCTTACAATAGTAAAAAAAAAATTAATAAAAGGAATATGTTGCTTCAGAGACTGGTGGTAATTGTGAGAGGGTCAGCACAGGAGGGGAAAGAAAGAGCAAGACAGCACTTAGCCCTCGAAGCAGTCAGAGGGCCTGATGGGTAAGGACGGGAGGATGGGATTAATAAAGGAGTTAGTGATGAAGAAACGCACTTGTGGAAGGACTTAGCATGTCATCTGACACGTGGAAGGCACTCAATTCGTGTTTGCCGGTAGATGGATTACGACTGAATGAATGAAGTCACAACCTGGCCAGGATTTGGCCCCCTCTCTTTTAGACCAAAAATAGGTGTGGGCTGGCTGCCCTAAGTCGCCACTGCTTCCCTCTTTGCTGATTTCCTACTTACTGCCTCTCTTTAGGTTTAACGATTTGGTGAGTTCAGCTCATGTGCTTCAAGTCAGCTGGGCCTATAACGAGAATGACGTGATCCTCATGAAGTCCAAGATCAACATCATCCTAAAGCTCTACCTGCAGTCCGAGGTCCCTCCGAGGCTGAGGGTAAGGGGGACTTCCACTCCTCTCTGGCCTTGTCCCAAGGAGCATTTTCCCACAAAAACCCTGAAAGCTGAGTCCTGGGTCGGCCGGATATCCTTGACCTAGCAGCCCCCAGAAAAGCGTCTGCCCTCTGGGGAGGGGGGATCTTCAAGGTTGTGGGGCCCAAGAGAGGTTTTCTGCCAGTGACGGGCTCCCACTCTGCGGGTAGGTGAACATCACTGAGACCCAGAGGGATGCCATCATCTCTGCCATTGCTGAGGGCCGCCTGGATCGGAACATCTTTCACGGGGCCATCGTGTCTCTCTTCCCCGTCATTATGTACTTCTGGAAAAGGTAAAACTGTCACCCCACCCCTCCCCAGGTCAGGGAAACACTTGACTTGCTAGAGCAGCGGTTCTCAACCTGTGGGTCGCGACCCCTTTTGGGGGTCGAACGACCCTTTCACAGGGGTCGCCTAAGACCATCCGAAAACACATATATAATTACATATTGTTTTTGTGACTAGTCACTATGCTTTCATTATGTTCAATTTGTCACAATGAAATGGGGGGTCACCACAACATGAGGAACTGTATTAAAGGGTCACAGCATTCGGAAGGTTGAGAACCGCTGTGCTAGAGTCTCCTGTCTTCCCATAGCTCTCTGCTGCAGTTGGTGTGTTCCCCTCCTGCTCACTACACTTTGTCCCTCACACGCTCACGCTGAGCACTGAGTCAGAGGAGGGGAGGCCCAGTAGGACTGGGGACCGGAACGCCTGGCCCCCAACACTCCCTGGGTGGAATGGGGAGTAGAAAGGAATAGCGGGCTCTTAGGTTGTGTTCGGCGTGGGCTCCTCATCTAAGGGTGACATGGACCACAGCTACTTGGGAGCAGCCTGTCAAGGCTGACACACTGTCCCCAGGCTCAGGGAGCCTCCTGGGGGCAGTGAGCCAGGAGAGTTTGCCTCTGCTATGCCCACATCCCATAATTACCAGTAGGGGCTCAGTTGCTAGATATTTCCATTTTCTAAAGAAGCTAGAAATTCAAGTTCTTAGGTCCTATCTCCCCAGGTTAAAGTAGGAAAGGTGGCTACCAACTCAAACCTAAAACCCGGGGAAGAAGCTGAAAAGGCCAGAAATGAAACTGGAAGAAAGACAAAATCCACAGAACAAATGTGACCAGGGCCCCCTGGTTCCTAACCTGTCCCCTAAATTCTCCCAGCTGGTTACTCACCTGGCCTGTGGTTCACCATGGCCCCAGCCCGCACCTCCGCATCGTGAATGGCAGCACCCTGGGTGAAAGAGGCCACAGGACAACTGGCTGAAGTGGCCCCAGACCAGGCTAGTTTGGGATGTTTAGATTACTATTGTGATTCCAGCACTTAGGGGTTTCCCTCTCCCCCCCCCCACAAGTTACTTTCTTAAAATAGAAGTGTTAAGGTTGCTTACCAACCACCAACCTTCCATTTTAAATTCCTAAGATAAATTATGCAAAACAAGATTGAAATAAATTTTTAAAAAAATCTAAGGTCAAGATAACCAGTTGAGCCTTCTGAGCACCAATTGTTATCTAGCACTCACGTCTAGACTTAATTCTCCGCCTGCTAACCAGGACTAAATACAAATGGGTCCCGAAGCTTCCTGGGGGATCAGCAACCCCTGGGGGGTGTTCGCTGCTCCCTCTGGAGTCAGGCTCAGTGCTCCCGCATCCCATTAAGGAAGTACAGGGGTGCCTCGGGGAGGCTCGAGTCCTGATCCTCTGCCAGCTGGTTCTTTACTCGCCTTCCTATATATTATGAAGATTTTTATATCATACAACTGTGTCCACATCTGTTATCTCAGGTGAACCTCTCAACACCCCCGTGAGGTGGGTGATGCATAGTATCATTGTCTCTATTTTATAGATGAGGGAACTGAGGTTCAGAGTGGTTCAGGGCCTTGGTAAGTGGTACCACTTCGTAAGTGGGTTAAAAACCAGGAATCTTGGTCTCTCAGGCACCATAAAGAATGCATCCTCGGCCCAGCCACTGGGGCTCAGTTGGTTGAGCGTTGACCTATGAACCAGAAGGTCACGGTTTGATTCCCAGTCAGGGCACATGCCCAGGTTGCAGGCTCAGACCCCAGCGTGGGGCATGCAGGAAGCAGCCAGTCAACCATTCTCTCTCATCATTGATGTTTCTATCTCTTTCTCCCTCTCCCTTCCTCTGAGAAATCAAGAAAATAATATTTTTTTAAAAGAATGCATCCTTGGCATATTGGGAGGTCCATGACTGGAGGGAGACCCAGTTTAGCAAGTGGAATAGGAGAAACCCACTATGATTGGGTGGAATGTGCCTTGGGGAGGAGGAAGGAGGGCAGCAGTCAAGACCACCAGAGCCAAAGCAGGACAGAAAAGAAAGCCCAGACACCTCCAAGGGCTCCACTCTCCGGACAGGCTGGGGAGAGCCAGGGCTCAGGGCCACGGAGGGAGAGATGGGGAGCATTGTGAGGGCTTCCAGGCAGCGGCCGTTCTCAGGTTGTAGTGCGTGTGCGAGTCTGAGCTCCTGAGAGGAGCCAGGCTTTCCTCCAGGGCAGGACTGTGGGAATGAGGTGAGGGGGTCCAGCTCCTCAGCCAGGGACAGGATGCCAACTAGGGGTCGTTCATCGTGACCTGGGGGAGGCCAGCCAGATGCTCTGGCTGTACCAGGTGGAGTTAGATGGGATCTGAGAGTCTGATGTTCAGGGGAGCACACCAGGGTGGGGAACAGCAGGTCCTTTATAGACTCCGTTCACTGGAGGTTCCAGAAGGAAGTCCCAGCATCCTGCCTGTCCTGGCCCCTCGCTGAGCCAGGTAGCACACTGAGGCAGGAGCTGTCCTCTTGTTTGTGCCCCACAACCCCCCCTCCACCCCACCCTCGTGAAGACTGGCTCTGGCCGGGTCCCCTGTGCTCAGTGTCACAGTCCCCTGGGAGGTTTTCTCCCTGTGACCAGAAGCCATTCTTTTCGCAGGTTTTGTTCCTGGAAGGTAACCCGCGCTTACTTCCAGAAGAAGGAGAGGAAGAGCAGGGACTCAAAAACTCCTTCTAAGTCTGTGGCCAAGTACTCTATTTGGAGTGGAGGTAAGCCCCGCCAGGACCCACAGCCCGATTCGCTAGCAAACGGGAATCATGAAGGGAAGGCGAGGGCTGGGAGGACCAATGGTGAGACCTCACAGAGGGTGTTTGCTGGTGGGATGGGCATCTCATTACTGGGCCCACGGAGAAGCATTCAAGTCTGTTATCTGTGGCAATCAGTGCTGGCAGGAAGGTCCCCCACCCACCCCATGGGCGGCTCCCCGGCATTACCTCCCAGGGTGCCTCTGGGCACTTGGTTCACAGCCTCCGTGGTGGGGACACGGAGCTCCATAAACGGTTATAGTGTTAAGTGAGAAAATGGAGATGTGGATGTAGAGTATGATTTTATTGTGGTAAGTATATATATATATATATATATACATATATATATATATATATATATGTGTGTGTGTATATATATATGCATAAAGATCTTTATGCACATGTATGATTTTTATGAAAACATGGGGAACAACTTAGAGTGTTAATAAGAGTATCTCTGGGTGCTGTGATTTTGACAGATTTACATATTAATATATTGTTAATCATATTATTCATATAGTATTTATGTTATGTTATTCATATATTTGTAGGTAACTGTGTTTGAAGACACACATATACATGTTTTCTTTACACAGAGCAGTTTAGCTCAGTCCCTTTCCCAGTACGTGCGCTGAGATCAGTACTTGAGCGAAGGGGCATTTTAGAGAGAGGGAGGAGGGTGCACAGGGCAGTGCCTGGCGAGGGCAGGCAGGGCTGGGTGGAAAGTTCTGGGAACCAAAGTTCTGTGCGCCTGGGGACAGTACCAGCTGCAGAACAGCATGTGGGGATAGGACAGGAGTTTTAAAAACAGCAGCCGGCCCTCCCAGGATGGAGCTGGGCACGCTGTTTCAGCTCCTACCTGCCGATGCCCGTGTTCCTTTCCCCAGATGCTCACTCCTGCCCCGACCCCAGAGCCCACACACAAACGTGCCACCCCCTTCTTTGGGGCCCTGGAGACCTAACTCCATCTCTGGGGAACAACTCTGGCTACAGAGCCCTGGTCCTGCCCCACGGACCCCTGGAGAGGGCCCTCACCTCAGGTGGAAACAAATTACCTTCGTCCCTGGCTGCAGCCACCCTGTGGTCCAGGAGCCCGGCGCCGCCTCCTGGTCTCTGCCCTGTGGAATGCCACATCTGCAGACAGCAGTCGGCTATCTTTTCAGTGTGTGGGCGACAATGTTCCTGCAGGTGCAAGGGCTTATGTAGGATGAGGGTGGGGGTAGGGAGAGAGGAGGCAACAGCAAAAGGAAAAGGAGAGGGAGGTGGGCAGGCAGGGTGGGCCAATGATGCTCACTCCGAGGGCACAGGAAGTGCGCTCCACGGAAGTAAATCCCTGCATCTTTTCTGGTGTCAGAAGTCAGAAGGGGGTCGGCAGGATGCCCTGCATTAAGGGGTCAGGCCGCTTGGGTTCTAGGTCCGGAAACTCATCCTGTTTGAGACTTTCGCTTCCCCTCTTGAGGCCTCGGACCCCTGATCTAAGATACAGACATTTGGATTTAGAAAATGTTCTATCGCTAGCATCCTGTAATCCCAGGAGTGTTAAACAGGAGCTTTCTTGCTTACTTGGAATGGTTTCTTTTGTTGGGTATTGCTGTGAAGGCTTTTAATGCTCCCCCTCTTGCCTCCCCAGGAGAACATGCCATCTTAAGATTCTCCTTGCTCAGAGGTATCGAGTGGTTGCGGCCTCAGCAGCGAGATGCAATAGCAAGTTCAGTCCAGAATTGTGAGTTGGAGTTGGAACCCCATGGATATCAAAAGCCCACTCAATGAGAGGGTGACCCTAAGGCCAGCTTGGCCCATCTCCTTATTGGCCAGGAGGAGACTGAGGCCCCCAAATTATGAAATGACTTGCTCAGGATCACACAGCTTGTGAGTGGCGGGGATGGAGTGAGAAGCAGGTCTCCTGACTATCCTTCCAGGGCCCCGTGCCAGCTCTCATTAGAATAATCATATCTTTTATAGCCCTTTAAAGGCAGTAGCTGAAGCTTCTCGATATTTCTGCTGGCTCCTCTGCCCATTTCCAGGCATGCTGTGTCATCTTCATTAAGAAACAATGATGATGTCCCACTTGCTACTTTCCCCTCCCTCTCAGAGCACCTGCTGCTTCAATGGAACTTCAGTCCATACCGCCTGCTTCCTGGAGGCTTCTGCTACTGATCCCCTTATCTCTGTAATGGGCATTCCGGTCCTAGACACCCATCTTGGGTCCATGTCATATCCTTTCCCTTTCCCATCTCCAGCCGTTCAGAGTCAATCCCAGGAAAACTGCCTTGGTTCTCACATGGTCTTTCCCAACAAACCTTTCCTTTCTGCCCATTGGCAGCTTCTCTTTCCATGTTGGAGATTCTGCTTCTCCGAAATGTCCCCTCATTGCTTAGTGGGGAGGTGATTATGGAACACTGCCCAGGAGCCATAGGGCCCAAACTGCCCTAAAGTTTGGTGTTTCTAGAGCTTATCTGGCCTCAGCTCCTTATTTTACGTCCCCGGGTCAGTGAGGTTGAGCTCATGATCTGTGCACCCAGATGAAATGTCTCCTAGGACAAAAAAAAATAATAATAACACTGTAGCATCCAACCCAGGTCTCCTGACTGTCCCTGGAGCGTTGCTGCTTCATCACTTTCCCAACTCCTTCTCTGGTCCTGGGATGCCTCCCTGGCTGGCTGGCCTCCAGGGAGGGCCTGTGCCCTGAGTTCTGATGCAGTTTTTCTCTGCATTTGTCTTTAGCTTCATCGACGAGCAACCTGACCCAGACAGGACATACGGCCTCCTCCATGCAGCTGTTTCCTGTCTTAGGGTAGGCACCAGCTGGAAGTCCTCTTCGGTGCTGAGCTTCTCTGTCCAAGTGCACCATGGGAGACGGGGGAGAAACTTCCCAGAGACCTAGCTCCACCTCCTGACACTCCTTGGCATATAGAACCAAGAAGTTGAGCTTGCTGCTTCCAGAGAGGCCTGGGGTGTCCTCACCCACCTCCATTAGGACAGGCCCTCGAGGAAGTTGAAGCCTTGACCCAGCTTCCAGTAGAGCACCATTGCTGGAGGAAGAGCAACCCAAGTGGCCTTTTATTAGCTCCCCCAATATACCAGTGCTCCGGGATAAGGACCTAAGATGGGAAAGAAAGAGGAGCTATTCTGCTTGGCAGGAGATTGGCGATAGGAGCAGAAAGGATTTGAGCCTGTCGCAACCTGATTCATCCTCGCTTCTGTAAGAGCATCACCGTGGGGCTGATGCTAAATTAAGGCTCTGGGAGAATCCCCAGGGGGTCATAGAAACCAGTGCCAAAGAACTGCTTGAGAGTCAAGGTTACAGACAGCAGGCTCTCTGAATGGCGGGCGGGCCTTGCCTCCTCACCAGCCATTCCACCTTCTCAGACCTGCTGCCAGGCCAATGGGGCTTGGAGCTCCCCAGGTATCATTGGCCAGCGCTGGTGCCTGGAAGACAAGCCAGGCACTTGGGAGCTCTTTGCTCAGAAAGGCATTGCCTGTCTTCAGAGGTTACAAGCCCTTGGGGAGGATGGTGAGAATAAGAAAGGGAGGGGCCCTCTCCTGAAGGCAAAGGGTTTGGGTTTAGGCTGTTGCCATCGCAGAGAGTGCTAACACCTTATCGCCATTGCGCTAACCAGCCATTCTTCTCTATTCCTTCAGAAAAAAACCATCTGGCATCAAAAAGGAGAAGAAATAATCTAGTCGGGCCCCCCAACAGAGGCGCATCATCTCTCAGAAGCTTCCTGACACTGACAGAACCTTTTCTGGTCAGAAAAGAAATGCCCCGGCACCCTCTGCCCTGGAAAGATCCGTGGGGTGACGTCAGTGGGTAAGATGTGGGCAGAGAGCGTGAGCAGAAGCACCTCTGCCCCCTCTGATCCTGGGGGGCCTGGCAGAGACGGTCTATCCCCCATGGACGTGTGACGGAACACCCTACTCTTGGGGTCAGGAGACCCGGGTTTTTGTCTCGCTCTGCAGCCGCATGGCCTGGAGAATCCCTGACTCCAGGTCGTTTAAGAATCCTGAGACAAGTGTGTGGAGATGGCATGAAGCACCCCAGGAAGCAAGGTGCTGTTTTATTAGACAGATGGGGGTCTTCAAGTGCTAGGATCTCCCATTTGGACAGTGACTCCCGTCCACTGTCTCAGCAAATCCTCAGAACCCTGTGGGTAACCGTGTCAGAAACCATTCATTTTTAAACAGCTGGAGAAACCGGCACACACAGGAGGTAAGTGACTTTCTCCCAACATCACGAGGCAGTAACTGCAGAGTCTGGACTAGAGCACCCACTGCTGCTTCTCACTCCGTGCTCACCATGGATGCAACTTCCCATCACAAAAGGGATCGTTCTTCCCTGGAGGTCTGTTCATTTGCCAATTGATAGATAAAGAGACTCTTTGGATAAATGTTGGCCTAACAGCCTACTATGATCATAGTTTAGAGTGACGAGGCCCATGTTCTGCTGTTTGAAGACAGTCGGGAGGAAGACGATAGCATGCTGTGAAGGGCTTACCACCAGAGGCCAAGGAGAGGTTGGCGTGTTGACTCCCTGGGTTGCAAGACAAGGAGGGACTAGAACGTTTATTGGGGAATCCGTTCGGGCTTCCAGCCAGCGTTTCCTGCCAGGCTGATGCCTTTAGCTCCTAGACTTTTCCCGAGGATGAAAGATGTTGCAATGCTGACTCAGGGCTCACAGGGAGAGACTGTCAGAGCGTGTGGGTGAGGCTGTGATTGATGGTGACAGGTCAGGAAGACCAGAGGCGGACAGGACTGGAGGCCTCACGACACTTAGCAGGACCACCGTGAATAGAAAGACGTTCTGCTCTTGGAGCCCGGCCGATTGCTTCCTTTGGTTTCTTACACCATCTCCCCTCAGCGATCCCAGGTCTAGCATGTTCTAACACCAGATTTAGGCTAGCGTCACAGAACCAGTCACCTCTAAAATGCGGACGGGTGATACACATGAGAAAAACAACCTGTGAGAGAGAACGGAGTGGTAGAGACTGGAGAACTGGAGAACCTATCTCAGAGGGGACAGTGACAGCTCCAGCCAGCCAGCCAAGCCACAGTTGCCAGAGCTGCTTACTTAGAAAGAAAAAGGAAGGGAGGAAGGGAGAAAGGGAAGAAGGGGCGGAGGGAGGTAGGGAGGGAGGTGAAAGAAGGAAGGAAAAGAAAAGAAAGGAGGGAGGAGGAAAGGATGGAGGGAGAGAATGAAAAGGGGAAAAGAAAGAACGAGAAAGTTTAAAATTTTGTAATATTAAGCAGGTTCAACAAAACTTGCAACCTTTGCTTTAAGCTTTTTCTTTCCCCCTTGAAATTATATTTAGGCCCTAAGTCTACCTTAGACAGAAAATATGGGAGGGGAAGAAGAGAACCCCAATAATAGACCCATAGGAGCCACAGGCATCTACAGAATAGGCCATGGACGGAGGCAGGAAGCTGGCTTACTCTGGGCCCTGTATTTGTTTTCTGTTGCTACCACAAACAATTGCCCAAATCTTAGTGGCTTAAAACAACACAAATGGACTATCTTATAGTTCTGCAGGTCAGAAGTCTAACCCGGGAAGCATGGGGATAATGTCAAGGTCATTGGCAGGACTACATTCCTTTTAGGGGGCTCTAGGGGTGGTTCCCTTTCCTTACTTATTCAGGTTATTGGCAGAATTCGGCCTTTACAGTTATAGTGCTGAGGTCTGGTTTCCTTACTGGCCTTTCTTTGCCTGTTTGCAAAAGCCTCAACTCCTTAGTGGCATATATAAGACCATTGACAATGTGGTCCAGTCTAGGTTTCCAGATTCATCTTTTATCTCGCCCACTCATGCATTCCATCCTCCGAATGCCCTGCCCTTTCTTCTCCGCCTGGTGAGAAGAGACATCACAGCGGTGACACCTCCTAGTTATCTCCTCTCTCCTCCTCTCATCATCTCCTTGTTGTCTCTGCAACGTATTTGTCCCCTCTTTGGAGACACCTGTTTGTGCATGTGCATCACCTACTAGACCAGTGGTTCTCAACCTTCTGGCCCTTTAAATACAGTTCCTCATGTTGTGACCCAACCATAAAATTATTTTCGTTGCTACTTCCTAACTGTAATGTTGCTACTGTTAATGAATCGTAATGTAAATATCTGATATGCAGAATGGTCTTAGGTGACCCCTGTGAAAGGGTCGTTTGCCCTCCAAGGGGGTCGTGACCCACAGGTTGAGAACCGCTGTACTAGACTATAGACTTTGTAGGGCTGAGACCACATCCTATTTTTTTTTTTTTTTGTACCTCCAACACCGACCACAGTGACATGCAGATGAGAGTCGCCCCATGAATACACAGTGACGGCATGAGTAAATGAACTGTGCTAGATGCCAGGGGTGTAGTGGAGAAAACAGAATTTGCAATGTATATCTGCACTGACCTTACCATCAGTTATGCTGGCTTCACAGTCATTAGACAGTGTAGTTTGCCAGACAATCAAGTCAGCAATCAAAGACAGCTGTGACTAGCCCAAGAAAGAAGAAATACCGAATTGTCCTTATGCAATTTGTTTTTGTTCCAGTCATTCTGGATGCTTGAAGAACTTTCTGGTTTCTCAGGAAGCTCATACGACCCATTCAGACCAAAGAGTGACAGAAAGAGGTAGAGGAAAACAAAGCCAGAGAGACTGAGCGAGACCTGCCTTCCACCTTCAGGAGCCTTTTCAGTTTCGTGTGTCAGGGAGTGACACGAGATCGCCCCTCTTTCTACAGAAGTATGAAAAGACGTCTGTCCCTCATTGTGAGTGCCTCCAACTGATCCAAGTGTCACCCCAGAGGCGGGGGCAGCTTGTGTGCAGCTCGGGGTGCTCGTCCCCACCCCTACACCTCAACCGGGGCTGCAGATCATTAATCAGAATAAAGCATGTTCACATTCACAGTCCGGAGGCCTCCTGTCCTCTTCTTTAAGAGAAGGGCACAAGCAACAGTATGCAATTTCTTGGGATCCACAGGCCATTTTCAATTTAAGAGATCAGAAACATTTACTCCCCATCCTGGATCAAGACCAAGGGCCAGTCGGTCTCATTCAGAGACATTGACACATGGGCCCTCTCCTGACCCACAGAGTGCAGGCCAGGAGGCCCTGCTGCCTTTCCTTCGGAGCCAAGTTTTCCATGAGGCAGATTGGTGTGCAATCCCATCCTTAATCCCTAGTAACTTGGTGATCATCAGCGAATGACTGAACCTCCCTGAGTCCCAACACCCTTGTGTGTGAAATGGAGAGGAGAATATCTACCGCATCGGGTTGTTTGGAGACTAATGAGATAACATAGGCCACGTGCATGGCATGGGACCAGGGACATTAGCGGCTGCTCTTCTTTCCACCTCTTCTCTAAACCTTCCCACAGCATGAAGAAAGCACTAGACCAGTAGGGGTATAGTTGAACAGTTAATTCCTGGGGAGATTCTGAATGCATTTCCTCCAACAAGATACATGATTCATGGGGGTTGAGTGGCCAGGATACCCACAAATCTATTCAATTCCTGATGTGTATGTAGGAGGAGTTGTATATTTGAGATTAATGGGAAGTAAATATATTTCCTCCTATGCCATTACATGCACTCCCTGACCCCTAACAGATGCTTTCAAATGTTTGTGACCCCCCCATTGAGCAGTTAGTATGCGACAGAACAGAGAGGACTTGCAAGACTTGTTTTACAGGCGAGCTAATGGAGGTGTGGAGAGGTCAGGTTTCTTGCTTCTTGCTTGCATGGTTTCTGAGAAGTACAGTGTAATTCTTATCTGCACTCCTCTATAGATGAGGCATTTCATTCCTCTGGCTTCTTTCGTGATTTTTTCTTTATCTTTGATGTTCCACAGTGTGAGTGAGTATGATGTGGTGGTTATTCTTCTTGGTGTTCTCTAAGCTTCCTGGATCTGTGGTTTGGTGACTAGCATTAATTTGGGGAAATGCTCAGTCATTATTGCTTCAAATATTTCTTTTTGTTCCCTTCTCCTCTTCCTGGTTTCCCCAGTAATTAATAACCTTCAGAAACAGAGCTCATCAGGCCCGGATGGGTTCCCTGTTGAATTCTACCCATCAGACTGGTTCCCTACAATCTCTTTCAGGGGATAGAAGCAGAGGTCATGCTTCTTAACTCATTCTATGTGGCCAGCATTACCCAAACACCAAACCCAGACAGACATTGTAAGAAAAGAAAACCACATTCCTTAAATGTTTTGTTGAATTCGCCAGGTGACCCATCTGGGCCTGATTTCTGCTTTGTAGAGTTGTTACTTATCGATTGAATTTCTTTAGCAGATATATAGGCCTGTTTAGATTGTCTGCTTCTCTTATGTGAGTACTGGGAAATTGTGTCTTTCAAGAAATTGGTCCATTTCATCTGGGTTATCTAATTTGTGGCATAGAGCTGTCCATAGTATTCCTTTATTATCCTTTTAATGTCCATGGGATCTGTTCTGACGTCCCCTCTTTCATTTCTGGTATTAATAACTTGTGCTCTCTCTCTGTTTTTCTTAGTAGTTTGGCTAGAGGCTTACTGATATTATGGATCAGGGGTCCTCAAACTACGGCCCGCTGGCCACATGCAAATACAAATATTGTATTTGTTCCCATTTTGTTTTTTTACTTCAAAATAAGATATGTGCAGTGTGCATAGGAATTTGTTCATAGTTTTTTTTAAAACTATAGTCTGGCCCTCCAACGGTCTGAGGGACAGTGAACTGGCCCCTGTTTAAAAAGTTTGAGGACCCCTGTTATGGATCTTTTCAAAGAACCAGTTTTTGGTTTCATTGATTTTCTCTATTGACTTTCTGTTTTCAATTTCATTGATTTCTGCTCTTATCCTTATTATTTATATTTTTCTGCTTGCGTTGGATTTAATTTGTTATTTTTCTAATTTTCCATTTAGTATCATTAATAGCATACATATATATATATATATATAACTCCCAATAATTATGTCATGAACATGCAACTTTAAAAACCAGAAGTTTAACAGCAATTATTCTAAGTGTTGCAATTACACAGTAACATTTATTTTCTTCTTCTCTAAAATTAATTTTCCAGCAATGAACTAACATTAAATATATACACAAATATAAATCTCACATATTTCAAGTATCAACTATAAATTTTTATTTAAAAAAGGATGAAGTTATATGCTTAAAGCAGCTCCTTGGAGTATTTATATTACTGAGAGAAAGCAAACTAACAATACAAGCAAAAAAGAAATGTTGAAATAATTTTTGAAATCTTAACTTGATAGAGCATTACACAATCATTTAAAAAAATTACAGTAAATCAATATAACATTATATTTTTAATATAATCAGTAAAAAAGCAGAATCAGAATGAAATAATACACTAGGGTGTCGATTATGTAAAACTCTCCTATGCATGTAAACAAACTCTGAGATGAAATGTGGAAATTTTAAAGTTTATTATCATAATGGGAGTATGGCTGTTTTTTATTTCTGGTGTTCCCATAGTATTTATCAAATAATATAAACTAGATTTTTTAACAAGACACTACAATAAGTTTTGTTACTCTTATTCAAAAATTGGCTTATGTCTTAAAGTTCAAGTTTATGTTGATTCTGGTTACTTTTGACCCACCTCATTTATTTTAAAGAAAACTCACACCCTACAAGTTTTGTTTTGCTTTTGATTTACTTTTCATCCAATAATATACAAGAATCTTAGCTAAAGTGTGGAAAGACCCTGGCTTTGTCATTGGCTGGGCAGCACTGGGCCAATCACTGAACTTGTCTGAATCTGTATTGCATCTGTGAATGGGCATTACACACCTGACTAGGGGGAAGGGGCAGGATGGGTGCTATTCTTACCTGGGGGCTTGTAGAACTTCAGGTTGGAGGACCACGATCTAGTTCCTCACCTTGTGTCACCAGAATAGAGAAGCATATTGAGGACACAGATTCAGGACAGTGGCAAATAAACTGCCCTCTGGGGGCTCCTATTTACCATGTGTGCCAGCATAAAAGACAGACCAATGTTTGTTTGTTTTTGGGGGGAAGGGGCAGTCTTCACAAATTTCCCACTCACTAGTCATCCATGTTGCTCTAAAGGGCATCAGGAAAATGCCAGTCAGCCGAGAAGGCCTGGGCTGTAATTCCAGGGATGGGAAGGAAGCTACTCTCGGGGTCACTGATGCCTACCAGGGCCTCCTGAATGCAAATCGGTTACCATGGGGAAGATGGTGTGTGTGGATCAGGGGACTTCCAGTCCAGAGCAGAAGTGGGCAGAAGTGCAGTACCGAGAAAAAAATATCCCATGGACAGGTGACCAAAACCCTGGAGTGCAGCTGTCTTCTTCAAGGGGGCAAGGTGGTGAGGCCACACACAATGCAGAATCGCTGTCTCTTTTACATATCAACTCAAGCCTTCTACTAAATACCTTTGTAATTCTAAATGCGAACAGTTCTTTAAAGTTAATAAAAAAGATCTAGATAAGAATTTAAAAGGAGGAAGCCAGCTTGACATAATGATAGAAATGACTGACATATCCATACTCACTACAAATCTGAAAATCAAAGCTTCATTTTAAAACCTAACACAATCTTGCTACTCCTCCAACCTTAAACAAAAGTCCTAAGTGTGTTTTTCCAGCACATCTTCATTTCATTTAGTGACACCCATGTGAGACCTCCTTCCTCTTCAGGAAGTTCCCAGGATCCTGTTTTGCCCTGCGCCTTCCATTGCAAAGCTCCATGTTTACCCCCACGAGGAGGATAAGTAGAAAGAATGGCAGACTTACTGCCAGAAAAGCAGTTCAAATCAAGACAGTGATGCTTCCCAGCTGTGTATTAGAGTGAGTCACCTTGTCTCTGACCTTCGTTTCCTCATCTGAAAAATGGATTGTGTTGAAAACTAAGAAATAAAATATGCAGGTTTAATTTAGAAATTATAAAGCACCATAAAAATATAAGGTGGTGTTGTTACTCATATATGGTGGTTCATTCATTTTGAATGAATTTTTATTGAATATTACCTGTGGCAGTCACTTTGCTAGGCAGTAATGATATAAATTAAAACATGTATATGTGTGTGTGTGTGTGTGTGTGTGTGTGTGTGTACATATACACACACAGGGTTGGGCAAAAGTAAGCTTACAGTTGTTTATATGGTAAAGAATATAATAATAAACAACAACACAAGAATACACTGTTTCACAAAGAATACAGTAATTAATCTACAATAATACAAGAATAAACTCTGCTTCACATATAGCTGTAAACCTACTTTTGCCCATCCTGTATATATCACTGGCCCTAAGGAGCTTAGATTCCTGTGCAGAAGGAGCATGCTCAGGGTGGGGAGAAGCATGCTCCCATGTGGCTCTGGGTGCTAAGGAGCCAGAAAGAGCACTCAGACTGGGGTGTAGAGCACTCGGCGAGGTGTTCAGAGGACTTCTGAGGAGGTGACACTGGAATTGGCTCACTACAGATCCAAAAGCAAAAAACAAATGCAAGTCACTCCTGTGTGAGACAGCCCATGCACTCCATGGTCCTGGGGCCTGAGCCAGTTTGCAGGTATCCTAGCCCCTTAAGGCCAAGTTTCTCAGCCTCAGTCCCACTGATATTTTAGGCTGGATAATTCTTTGGGAGTGGGGGGATCTCCTGTGCTTTGTAGAATGTTTGGTAGTATCCCTGACCTCTGTCTACTAGGTGCCAGTAACACTCCCTGTCCCCCAGCTTTGACAACAAAAACTTTTCCAGACACTACCAAATGGCCCCAGAGAGGCGAAATGGCCCTGGGTTAGTGCTACTGCCTTTGGGTCATAAAAACCTTAAGATCATAGAACCAGTGCAGGTGGTTCTAGAAGGAATGAAATTTAAAAAAATATCAGTGCCTTGACTTATACTTTGCTGAATGAATGAGCGAGTGAGTGAATGAATGGGCAAGCCACCTGGAGCCCCTTTGATATATTTCTTTTAGGTCTCATCCGAATGTTCCCTGGGCTAGTAATTAAGTTCTAAGATGCTTAAGTGAGAGGCAACAACACCACATCCATTTATTCAGTGCTCTGTACAAGTTGTATGATCTGGGACAAGTAGTTCAAACTCTTTGAGTTATAAGTTCATCAGTTCTCAAATGGGGATATTAACCCATGCTGCAAACAAGATCTTTGGGATAATTACGCGAGATAGTTGATGTAAAGCATACAGTACTAGAAGTCTAGGTACTCACTCCTTCCGTGCAATAGACAAGAGGAATTTCAGCAGGATGCCCTCTGGCTCTTGCTTCTAATCTTTACCCAAAAAAAAGCACCATGGTAATTTGAGCATATACTTTTTTATATATATAAACATGTAGGGACTGCCTGACACATTGCCAGGAACTGACATTATCCATCCAACTCATCCCTCACAAGCAACCAGGTTGGTTAAGGGGCCCAGAGAGTTGTGATTTGCCCTGGATCACACAGCTAATAAGGACCTCAGAAGGCTCAGTCAGCACTCAGGGCTGGCTAGTCTGCTGGCCACCATTGCCCTCATCACAATAGGGCCTGTGTGCATTGTGAATTTGGGGGAAATGCTTTGCATATTCTGTGTTCTGTAGTCTCTTATAGATGTAGATGATCAGATCGGGGAATTTCTCCTGAAAATACCGGGAAGGGTCTGGAATTTTCAACTTCATCCTGAAATGAAATGTAAATATTTTGGCAGGCATCCTCCCAATGCTTCCCCCTTTATAGCACATGGCCTGGAGATCACTGTGCTCCCATGATCTATAATAATAAAAGTGTAATATGCTAATTAGACCAGACATCCTTCTAGATGACCTTCCAGACGAAGCCGGTGCTGTGAGGCCTGAGACAGCTACTGGGGTGTGTGGGGGCTGGGGCAGAGGCAGCCACTGAGGCGGTGGGGGCCCAAGCCCATTACACGAATTTCGTGCATCGGGCCTCTAGTTTCTATAGAAGAGAGAATAAGGACTTGGGAATCTGACAGAGCAAGAGTCATCGCCTGATTCTTCAACTATCTGTGAACTTTGGCAATGTGATGTTTATGAACCTGTTTTATCATCCATGAAATGGACATAATACAATTCCACAATTTTTTATCTACATTTCCAAAATCCAAAACAGCCCTAGAAGTGGAAAGTTGTTGTTGGTGGTTGTTTTTTAATGAGTTTGCAGCTAACATTTTTGGCAGTAAACGCTGACTTAACTAACATGGGGCTACTACCTAGATTTTTTTAAATGTTACATTCACTTTACCCAGCTGCCCAGTTCACTGTGGTTCCACAAGGGAGTCACTAGCCTGGTGTTCAGTGGGACCCAGCAGAAGTTAAGGAAGATGACCCCTAACCGGTTTGACTCAGTGGATAGAATGTTGGCCTGTGGACTGAAGGGTGCAGAATTCAGTACCGGTCAGGGGCACATGCCTGGGTTGCAGGCTCAATCTCCAGTAGGGAGCGTGCAGAAGGCAGTCAATCAATGATTCTCTCTCATCATTGATGTTTCTATCTCTCCCTCTCCCTTCTTCTCTGATAATCAATAAAAATATTCTTTTACAAAAAAAAAGAAGAAAGATGGGAGCCTACTGGTCACATCCATCATTCCTTGTAAGGCCCATGTAGTGGCCCTTTTCCCAACAGGGGAGGAGTTACTTTTCTTTCATCAAAATTAACTGTGCTCTTCCCACCAAATAGCAGGTATAAATTCAGAACGGGATTTTTAGATCTTCTCATTTCAAATGTGACTTACAGGAATGAAAACAATACTTACCATCCATTCTTTTCTTCATGAATGTGTTCCCCCAAATTCCGGATGAACTTTAGCAAATCACCCACAGTATCCTGGTATTTTAAATGGGGTTTCTTTCTATAAAACCATTGCATTTTTTTCATAATGCCTTTGTCAATCTAAACAACAAAACATTTCACAAAAATGTGGTAGCAATGCAAAATAAATCCTGGCGACATACAAATTTGAATATGTGTCAAAATTACTACTATTAAAAAAGCAGTGGTAATGATAGTTGTGTTTGGATATGGGATTCGGTAACTAAATTTGTCTGTTTCCAAAAGCAATTAAATATATTAACACATGGTTCAGAAAATCTTTGGCCACTGTGCTAGGAGATGTGCTCATTATACTATGCCATACTTTTATCCTTGTGGCCCCCCTTCCAATATGATCATGGTTGTTTTTGTTTGTTTGTTTTTTCTTTTGAATTATATTTCCAAAGGGGTTACATATTTCTCCTTGCCTCTCGGTGTCCCAGGGCAACTTCGGTCATAGTAATGCCTCCCTCTTTGTGCTGGCACCCTTGTAGATGGCTTCATATTTAGAAAGAGTTTGGAATAAGGGAACAAGACGCAACAACCATGAGGCCATAGTTCCCTTAGGAAGAGTGAGTGGTACCTGGGCCACGGCTAGAGGTGACCTGTTGAGACGGCCCACATGTACTATGGGTGGAGCACACGTGGGAAATGCTGAGCCATGTGTATGTGGCAGGGTGGGGGCGAAGGCAGGAATATACACCGGGAAACGTGGCTCTGGACCTGAGCTGCCAAAAACTGATTGTACGACCATGAACATGGGCAAGCCACCAAAATCAACAGGAGGAAAAAAAAAAAAAAGTCTAAAATGGAAATTAAAAGATAAGGCCTGAAGTTCATCAAAATTAAATATAAGTCAATGCAGTTTAGGGGAAACGGCTAATGAATTAGGGAACAAAATAATAGGGTTCTCTTCCCAACTCTGCCAATCTCTGCCTTTCCAGTCCTGGGTATTATGGGAGCCTCAATTTCCTCGACAACTAAATGGCTGGGTGGGCCTGATGGCATCAGAGTGTTATGCAGTGAGTGGCTTTAGTGCGCAGGTTCCGTAGCCAAACTGCCCAACTTCAAATCCCGCGGTACCCCTTACTGGCTCAGTGCCTTTGGAAAAATTGTCTGCCTCAGTTTGCTCACCTGCAAAATGGAGATATTTGCCTCAGAGGTTGTTATAAGGATTAACTGTGGTGACTCACAAAAGTCCTCACAACTGTAGCTGCCATGTAGTCAGCACGACGTAGTCCTTAGCTATAACTGTCATCTGCGCTGGTTCCTCACTTCTCTGTTTCTACAAGTTTAAGTCTCAGCTGAGGTTTTATAGATATTCATTTGGCAAAGAGTCGTGGCACACCTACTTCATGCCAGGAATAGAATAGCAGACAAGATAACGGATGGTCTCTGCCCTTGTGGAGCTTATAGGATAGCAGGAAAAAATGAACAATAAGCTGACATTTATGAGTGTGATGTGTAATCTAGAGTCAAGTGAGGGAAGGAAAGCAAAATGAGACCCAGGAACAAAGAGGTGTGGGAGAAGCAGAGTCCTAGATTGACCTAAGATAGGGAAGCTGCTGGTCTCAGTCAAAGACCTCTGGATTCTGGATTCGCTCATAGTGCTTTGTACCTGTCTCTGGGCGCCCGGCATGTATCATACAGCCATTGTTTCTGTGAGTGTCCCGGCCCTACCTTGGCCATGCCATACTCTCCTTTGTATACTCATGACCTCACGTGGGCCTAGCACATACCTAGTACTTGTTGGATGTGTGCTAATGAATAAGAATGAAAGTTCTGATAGTACTGACTAGATCAAGATGGTGATTTATTTTGATGTTTCACTATATTCAGTTCAAGTTAAGCGGGCCTTTTCTTGAAGAGGAGGAATTTGAACGATCATCTCCTCTTCATAGTCTGCTTTCTGGGGCAGAATGTAGGTGCGTTGTGTGGATCCTCAGAGCTGGGCTGTTCACGGGCAGCAGAGGCCCTGGACTGAAAGGCCTCATGGTGGAGCACTTCCTCTGGATTAAGCCCTATCTAGTCAGCTGCTCTTGTTACCATGGCAATTGGGTCATTAGCCAGGCCCTTCTCAGAAAATAAGTCTTGAGGGAAAGAGCCACAGAAAAGGCAAAGGCTCATGGCTGGGACAAGACTATCCCTAAAATGAGCCTAGACGGGAGTCTGTCAGGAGGGCTTGGCCTCTATAAGGGGTGGGGGGGGGGGGGGAGGGGAGGGTGGCCAGAGACCCAAAAGGTAAAGGGGACTAGGATGGGGAGGAAGAAAAGGGAAATCCTTTCTTTCACTTCTTGGTTGGGCCAGGCCAACAATATATAAAAAAGAAAAACTATGATAAAACATTACACAGCTTCTTATTCCTTAAGTAACCTCCAGACTGTAAGAATTGTTCATACCTCAGAGGTCCACTTATCAAAACTTCTGGAAGGTTCAGATGGTCTAGGTTGCAGTAGTTGGAGGATACTGAGTTCTTGGCTTTGTATTTTCGTTTTGATCTCGGATTCATTTCCCACATCCCTAAGGGTCCTATAGCGGCTGAGGATGACAGAATTATCATGGTCATTCCATCCTTCCCACTCTTTCAAGAAAGACGAAACTGTTAGATTTTGGGTTTTAATAGAAGTAATAAAACTATGTCTTTAAAAATTCTGCATGATGGGAGAGACAGGCATCTCTCTGTTTCTCTCTCTTTCTCTCTCCCTATTCTTCAGAAGAGAGAAACAGAACCCAGAGAGGTTAAGTCACCACTCCAAGGACACACAGCCAGGAAATGCCCAGGTGGATCTGCTGATTCTCAGCCGGACTCCCACCCACACCACCTCATGGTGATGATTAATTTTACATGTTAACTTGACTGATCACAGGGTGCCCAGACTAAACAGTTTTCTGGCTGTGTTTGTGAGGGTGTTTCCAGATGAGATTGGTGTTGACATCAGTGGGCTCAGTCAAGCGGATTGTCCTCTCCGGTGTTTTATGTCTTTCCTATTGGTTCTGTTTCTCTAGAGAACCCTGACTACAGCACTCACTGTCTCCATGCAGGGGCCTGTGACATACACGTAAGTTTTACCTACCTCTCCCAACTCCAGAAGAAAGGATGACCCAGCAGGTCGCTCAGAAGGTTCTCCACATGTTCCCTAGGCCAGAACAGCTGCCGAAGGAGGTCCTGAATTTCTTCATTTGGAGACAATGTAATCACTTCCTCGTTGCTTTGAGTCTTCAGTGTCTCAAAAGGGATGTCTCCCTTCCTTACCACATATAGGACCAGCCGTCCAAGGGCCTGCACCAAAACCAGCAATCAAGCCGAAGCTGCTAACGCCCAATCACTCTATTTGGGTAACTTTGGAGCCTGTGGTACATACAGGCTAGGGGCAAATGGAAAATGGGAGGAATATCTCAAGGAGTCCACAGGCTGGTTAGGGAGAGAAGACACAGGTTTGTGCATAGAGAACTCTTCCAGGCAGTATGTAGGCCTCACAGTTCAGGTCTATAAGGAGAAAAAGAGAATCCTGGGCCAGAGTGCCAAGACAGACTACCTGGAGAAAGAGGAATTTGAGCTGGACATCAAAGTATGGGCAAAAGTTAGATAAATATGAGGAAGAGAGAAGGTTTTAAACCAGGGGGATGCCAGGAGCTGGGAACTGGGACTTTGGGTTGGGGCTATGTCAGTCAAGCAGGTAAAGGAGCCAGGCCAGGTCCAGCTGGATATAGCGATGGGCCCAGGGGTTAGGCCACAACATGGAGGAAAGGCCAAGAAGGAGGCCAACATCGGAATGCCTGCATCAGGCAAGACACAAATCAGGGAAGGAGCTGAAATGTGGAGCCACTGAACCACCAAGGCCAGACCCAGGGATGAAGAGCCCTGGTCCATTGGGGTGAAAGTTCAACACCCTGGAGACTCTCCAGGAGAGATCTGCCCTGACCCAATTGGAATTAATGGGGAACTTTGGTCTTCAGAGACCAGGCTCTGTCTCTTCTCAGAGAACCAGATATTCCAGGATCTTCACCTTTTTAACCAAACTTAGTCTCTTTCGAGCTGGGGAATCGCACCCAGGTGTTTTCAAGGGCCTTAGAATCTGGCCCTCTTTGGAGTTTGAATGGAGTGGGAAAAGAAATCTTATTTACTACTGGAATTCTGGAGCTGTTTTGGAAATACCTGCTGGAAGTAATTGGAGAAAGAAAGAGATCCAAAAAGACACAGAAAGAAGCCACAGTGACAACCAATCCACACCAGCCTAGGGAAATGCCATTGTCTGTAATTGAATGACAGCAGTGAGCACGGGGAGGGGTGGGGAGGGGGGAATTCCTTGAAAGTTCTTTCCTTCCTGGTTAAAATAGGGATGTCCTCTAATTGGCCATAGAAAATAAGGTAATGAATGAATAAGGAAGCAGAGAGATGGAAAAGTTAGCCAGCTCCAGAAATTACCTCTAGATCGCTCTTGACTTGCTCTGGCTCTCCAGCCCACTTGATGCTTTTATCAAAATCTGCCACACGAACAGCATTCTTGGAATCTAAGGAATAGTTTGTAGAGAGTGGTTAATTGAAAATCCTCATTCTCCATGCTGTAATTCATTTAAATAAATATGTAACCCAGTAGGCAATCCATCATCTCTTAAGAAGGCCATAATAAAACTTACTATGTTTGTTCCTCAAAACACTCATGTGCCCTGTGTCATTTGACCTACGAAGCATCTGCCAATAGCAAGTCTTATATTTTATTTTTTCCAAGCCAGGGGGTGGGGAAGGATGAGGGGACCTTGAACCAGCCCCCCATTCATGCAATTCCTGGGGGTAAAGAGCAGAGATTTGTAAAGGAGCAGTTGGCAGAGTTAAGGTTACATCCTATGGCTAAACGACAACTAGCCCACAAGGCTCCAAACCCAAGGCCACCTTAGCATACTACATAACACAGCATAACAAATCTAGCCTGCTAGCCAGAGCCCACAATGACACTGTCATCAGTTACCATGGGTCCACCCCGTGTTTGTGATGAGTCACTGCCTCCTTGCCCTCTTCGGAATCTTTCTTCCTTGAAGGAAGCCACTGAGTCCTCAGACAGAGGGATGCAGGGATGAGCATGGCCAGGAACAAGACGACAGGAGGGCAAGTCAGTGATTGGTCATCGAAGAGGTGGCTCCTGCTTTTTGCTTCAAGGGGTCTGAGAAGGAAGGCTGGGCAACCCTATATAGATGATGGCCAGAGCAGTTGTGTGCTTCTGGAGCCCCTTTTATTGTAAACTTAGACATCCTGTGTGGAAATCCATCAAATTATTCAACAAGTGTTTAGTGCAGGGAAAAGGCCCGTGAAGGGGGGAACACAGTCTCGGCCTAGGGAGTTTAGAGTCTCAGGCTGAGGAGACAAATAATTACAGATACACATGAAATTAACTGCAATTTTGAAAATGCTAGCCAAAAGGGCAGGAAGCTCTGGAAGTGTCTTCCTAAAAAAGCTACATGGCTGGGGTGGGGAGGAGTCATCTTTGTGAGTAGAGTCTGGGTAGGTGAGCAGAGTGGAGAAGAGAAGGAAGAGAGAACTCCAGGTAGGAATTCCTGAGACAGAAAGGAACCTGGAGAATTCCACCGTGACAGAAAGAAGGCCCGGAGAGGAGGAATTAAGTCAGAAAGTGGCTTGTGATGAGGTTGAAGGGGTAGATGGGGGCAGATTATAAACCTCAGATTGTTTTCAGTTATGAGAACTTTTCTCATAAATTCCCTTCATGTGTTTAAGCCACTTGAGTGCTTGCTTGGAATCTGTTTCATGGTATTGCATCTTGTCCTGGCATCCCCAATTTTGACCTGTTTTGCCATTAAGTTTCACAGTAACTGCCATTTTCAGGATTCTCTGACTTGAAGACTATTCTGGGAATCCAAATTTCTGGAGCTGGCTCCATCCAAGACATACCTTCATATTTGTATTTGCCAAAGGCAATATGAGGTTAGCTGGTATTCCATTAGCAGCCATGACCTCCATGCGGAGGAAGGGTTACAACTGGGAGCAGGAGAGCCTGCACTGTAATTATGACTTTGTTGCACTGACCCTCAAACTGAATAATCCACATTGACTGCAGTCCTTTCCCATCTGCAATGACAAAAGAAAAAAGGACCCCACAATTTCTAAGACACCACTGGGGACTCACCTATTAAGATGTTTTGTGGCTGTAGATCCTGGTGAGTGTATCCACATGACAGGATACACTCCACGGCCTTAAATATAGATAAGAGGATGTTTCGGCTAAACTCATCTTCCTCGTTTTCCACAGCCTCCCCTCTGCTCTGGGCCAAATGCCTCTCTAGTGTCTGCTCGCAGAGGGAGGTGCACACATACAGACAGCCCTTGTGGATCTCATGCCCGTAGACTGTCACCAAGTTACTCTTCCCTCGGATGCTCTGTAGACAGGAGATTTCCCTTTGTCCACGACTGCTGTCTTCAGAGAATCGCTTCACAGCTACCTCTTGCTCGTCATAGAACCCCAGGTAGATGCCTCCTTCTGAACTGTCAGCGATTTTATATTCTTCATCCCTAAAGATCTTGAGTCTGCCGATCATAGGGCGGTATATCCTGTGGAGGTGTTTCAGGGCCGGCCCCCAGTGTGAGCTCTGAGGCTCCCAGTCTCCAGCTGGAGGGTGATAATCTTCTCTGGCTCCATGATGGAGAAGAAGCTTTACAAGGGAACTGTTGTAATGGCGCCTCGCTAACATAACAAGGTTCCCACAATCCGTACTGGCTCCTTTGCCACACAGCAGCTGGGCAATTTCTGTCAGATTGAGTTCAACAGCCCACAGCAGTGCTGTTTTGCCCTCCCGGTCTGTGTCATCAATCTCTATATGTTTTTGTTCCAGAAACATCCGTACCAAAGTCAAGTGCTTCTTTTCCACTGCCAGGATCAGGGGCGTCTTCCCTCCTTCTCCGCTCACATTGACATCGGCCCCATGGTGCAACAGAAGGCGAGTGATGGCCTCCACATTACTGTCATCAGGCCCCGCAAGAGCATGGATCAAAGCATTTCTGCCCATGTTGTCACGAGCTCTGACATCTGCCTGCATCTCTTCAAGAAGGATCCTCAAGACCTCTACCCGCCCGTACTTAGCAGCATCCATCAGAGCGGTGGCCCCTCCTTTCTTAAGCCTCGCTTGGTCCTCCATTGTCTTTCGACCCAAATTTACTTCTGCTCCGTTCTCATACAGGAATCTTAAGGCTTCGACCTTACCATACACAGCGGCTTCCATGAAAGCCGTAAAGCCGTGAAGATCCCACTCGTTGATATCTGCACCTTTTGAAAGAAAAAGTTTGAGCAGCCTCACATTTCCCACAATCCCAGCGACAAGGAAGGGGGTAGCCCCATTCCTCTTCCTCAGACAAGGGTTAGCGCCATAGCGAAGCAGCAGTTCCACAGTGTCCTCATTGTCCATTTGCACTGCGTTATGCAGAGGGGACCAGCCCCATTCCTCTTCCTGGAAATTGACATCAGCCCCTCCTTCCAGCAACTGCGTGACCAGCTCCATGTTTTCTCGTTTAATAGCTTTTATCAACAAATGATTGTTGCCCCCTGAAGTCCCCCCATTGCCAGAGGGTGTGGGTCTGTCCTGGGGGTTGTTATGGCCCTTGGTCTCCATGATCATAAATACCACTGGTTACAACATTTTGCCTTTGAGAAAATGAAAACTATCTCCTTGGGACTTGATCAAAGAAACATGGAGCTCTAGAAACTCCTGTCACGATAAATCAGGATTATCTGACTACAGATCAGCAATATGAGGAAGGGCAATACCCTGGGAGTCTTCTGACATTACGCCTGGAGACAAAAGAAGTATTTTGTAATTTTATAATAGAAAACATTTGAATTAGAAAAAAATGAATTTTACTGGCAACTTTTTCAAAATATACCTACTTATTTGTTAGAGAATGTTGTATTACATAATATTATAAATATACATATATAAAGTCAAATAATGAAAACTATTACTCTATAATCCCATTACCCAGAAACAGACAATGGCAAAATTTTAGAACATGTCATCAACGCATCCTATTCTCCACACCCATCTGCACAAACGTACTACACAAATCGGAGCTGGGAGTGTCAGTTTAGTCCAACTGCCCTCCATCGGTTCAGAGCAAGTGACATCCAATTTAAGCATCAGATTGCACCAAAGTGTGATCTGGATATTTACTGCACCTGCTCCCAAATTCACACAGCCACCATTTTTCAGCTATCTCAGCACTGTCTCCAAGTCTCCACCTTCTGAGGTCCAAATCAACGATGCTGCCTGAGCACAACCGCCCAGCAATGAAACCATTGGTCCAAATGTGTCTGTTACAGCTGAGAGGGGCCAGTCTCAGGAAAGGAACAGAGAAGGAAAGAAACCCTGAGTGAAAGCAGGGTAGGGCACTTCCTGCTTTCAGTTTCATTTTCCCCATTTGACCGGAGGTGCCTGGTAAACAGCCGAATAATGTGTGGATTGTGGCAGAACCGTGGCATCTCAGGAAAGGCTCAGGACTCAAGGGCCCTGGGGTGCCTCTTGCTGCCTCTCCTTTCTCTCCCAAAGTCCCACACCCCTTTCACCTTACCTTCTAAACTCCGCCGCCGCCTCTGTTACTTCCTACTGTTGCCAGCAGGAAAAAATTCCCCTGGTCACAGTCACTGAGCCAGGGGGGCGGAGCCAAGAAAGGAGTGAGAAGGGAGGGTAATCTGGCACACAGGCACTCCCTCTGGAAGGCGTAGCCTGTGCAGCCAGGGCAGTGGTTCTCAACCTTCCTAATGCCGCGACCCTTTAATACAGTTCCTCATGTTGTGGTGACCCCCAATTTCATTGTTACAAATTGAACGTAATTAAAGCATAGTGATTAATCACAAAAACAATATGTAATTATATATGTGTTTTCCGATGGTCTTAGGCGACCCCTGTGAAAGGGTTGTTCGACCCCCAAAGGGGTCGCGACCCACAGGTTGAGAACCGCTGCTCTAGAGAAAAGTGGTGGCTCTTCTCTGACGGCCGGTGACCAATTTGATGTCCAACGTCATGCTGCTCACCTCTCAGCCTTTCAGGTCACAGCCTCCAGCTTGATCCTCACCACCTTACTCCAAATCCCCTATCTTCTTGAGGGAAATTAGTGGAAAATAAACATTTATTGAGCACTGACTTGGGGGCCTGCCACTCATTGCTCCACTGTCCCAGTTACTCCCTAACAGTCCTGCTGATGATGGAACTGGGACTCAGAGAAGCTAATGTAAGCCCAGAGTCCAAGCTCCCTCACCCATCTGGGCACCCATATTATTGCAAATTCTACTCTCAGGCCAGCTGCCCTGGGCACGTTTCCTCCCTCTGAAGATTTCATTTTCTCATCTGTGTGATGGGTAATCCTACTTAACCTCACGGAGCTGCTCTAAGGACTAAATAAGACCAGGGATCCCCCACAATGTTTGTTCCCTTCTTCCTTTCCCAGGCTCTTACACTCAGAATCCCTCAGGCATCACCCCCAGAATCCATCGCCTCTTAGATCTGGGCTTAGCGTGTGATTCCTGGGGTTTTCTACCCAATGTACCTGAAGTCTGGCCACTTTACTCAGGCTAACAGCAGGGGAGCAAAAAAAGTCAACATATGGTCCAGATCCATATAGGAACAGATAATTCAACATCAGGAAGAATTTTTTTTTTTTAAATAGTGGTAATGAGAGAAAGAATTAGAGATCCATAGGCTGAGAAAGGAAAACAGATTTGGATCCTTGCAAACCTCCCCCCAAAGTCCTCAAGCCCCACTCACCCATTATTCCCTCAGCCCTGGAGTGGAGCAGTCGCACATACAGAGTGGCTTCCCTTAGCTCAGTGGTCGGGAAACCGCGGCTCGCGAGCCACATGTGGCTCTTTGGCCCCTTGAGTGTGGCTCTTCCACAAAATACCGCGTGCGGGTGCACACATACAGGGAACAATATGGAGTGAAAGAAGATGTAGTGTCGAGGATTGAGAAAGGTATGTTGAGATGGTTTGGACATACAGAGAGGATGAACGAAAGGAGATAGACGAAACAAGTATACAAGACAAGTGTGGATGGGAGAGTTGGAAGGGGTCGACCTCAGCAAACGTACCTCAATCAGACTGAGGATGCTTTTAGCAAAGGCCAGCTTAGGAGTACCCTAATTAAGTTAATAACAATGTACCTACCTATATAGTTTAAGTTTTAAAAATTTGGCTCTCAAAGGAAATTTCAATCGTTGTACTGTTGATATTTGAGTCTGTTGGCTAATGAGTTTGCCAACCACTGCCCTAGCTCATCACAGAGACGTCAGTGAAATGACTCCAGAATACGACTTTGAATGTATATGAACTTATAAAATACTCATAAAGCGGGAAATGGGCAAAAGTAAAAATGACTACCACCTGATAATGTCTAGCTACTGGACCAAGGGGAGCAGCCCTTGTGTTGGTACAGGCAGAACTGGTCACGGCTATGCTGTCTCTATTCAGAGGACAAAGTCATACGGGCTCTGAAATGACAGCAGGCTGAGCCGAGTCCCACCAACATGACCTAACAGCCCAACACAAGTTGGGTCCACCATGATGGATGGGCTCCACCCTTAGTCCCTGTCACCCTCTCTTCCCTTCCACCAGTTCCCAGCCAAACATGGGTCTTTCATCACCTGTGACAGGGAAGCTCATCCCTCTGTCCTTGTGGGACTGGCGGAGGCCAGTTCCTCCACAGGACTCTCGCCCCACGTCCCCTGACCACACACACAGCCCATGGAGACAGGATCTCACGTTGGGGTTTTATTTTTATTTTACAAGAATATAACATGCTGCAACAGGAAACACAGGGATTGAGTACACCATCTGTATCTCGGAAACCAGCTCCAGTTGTCAACAATAAATAAATATTTCAATAGTGAGGAGTCCCTGACCGGTGCCAAGAGGTTCCCAGCACATCCCGAGGTAGAGAGCCTGGTGGCGGGAGGGACACAGGCTGCCAGGTCCTGCTGAGATTCTTGGGTCGAGGCAGACTATAGTCACAATAATATAGTCACAATAATAAATAACAATAGCAATCACACCAACAGACAGTAACAAAAAATAACATGCTCTGGCAGTCGTCACAGAACCAACAAGACGTTATAACTTAAATAATTGTCTCCTGGAGGAGCTCACAGTGCAGCGAGAACAGGGCTGATTCCCGGGCACAGGGTGCCGCCTGGTCCATCACCTCCCCAGCCTGGCCTCCTGCCCAGGCCCCCCACCCCCCAGCAGGTTTGTTCAGCGATGCCCTAAGGTGACAGGCAGGTTCCGATTTTCCCAGTCCTGCTCTTCCACGCAGCCTCTCTCTGTAACTCCACTCCCAGCTCCTGGGATCTGTCCAAGGGTCATCGTGGTCCCTTACATTGTGGTAAGTGCCCCTCGCACCCACCGGCAGGAGACAGAGGTTCCCCCGCTTCCAGCCTGGGTGCCTCTTTTTCCCTGTTCTCATCCTCACACAAAAATATTGGCTTGACTTAAACAGAACTTTCAGGAACTGTCAAGGGATTTCTATCTTATGATCCTTTTCTCCCTCCCTGCACACAGCTGGGCATGAGAGCCGACTAGCCACTCACCGAGAGGGGCCACCCCTTTCTCCTTGAGGGCGTGGGTTCAAGGGTGGAACCGAGCTGAGGGGGCGTATCCCAGCAAGAGGCCCTGCTCACATGTGCACCCTGCTGCAGACACAAGGTCAGGGACCACCTACAAGGTCACCGAGAGCACCAAGATTCATTTCCCATGAGCAAGATGGTGTCTCTCCGCTGACTTGGAAGTGGGCTCACAGGCCAGTGTTTGAGGTATAAAAATCTCCCTTGGGGCCAGCGTCACGCTGGTCCCCTGGCCTTGAATACTGTGAGGCTGGACACGGGAGTGTTAAGAAGTACAAGCTAAAGGGCCCTTGGGCGACTGAGGCAGGTGGGGCGGATGGAATGGGAGGGGTCCGTGTCCAGGGCTCCCTCCTGTGCCCAGGACAGCCTGGGGATGAGGCACACAGGCTGTGACCAGTCCGCTGTGCGACAGGCAAAACAACTGACCTGGCTGATTTCCCTCCCATTTTTGAGTTTCGCTTTATTTACATTTCCCAAACCCCCCTGGACTCTTTCCTGCCCCGTTGAGAATGACGAGAGCCCGTGATACCTCCTGCATCACCCTTCTTTTCCCCAGAGAGCACCACACAGCCGTGACCTCCAGCCCTTATCCGCAAGTCCTGGGAGTGGGGACGACCCTCTCATGCATGAGGTTCAGTCCCACCGTTTCTGGAGGAGAGGCTGTTGCTTCCAAAAACAAACAAAAACAACACAGCTTTGTCCTTCACTGTCCTCTTGTTTGCTTTGCAGAACCTGCCTCCCACACAGGGGCAGCTGCCTCAGGGCTGGGTGACTCAACCTCTCTCCCCGGCCGGCTCCTCGCTGCCGCGAGGCTCAGGTGTGTGAGGGCTCGGCTGAGCTGCAGCTGGACGGAGAGGCGTTGGTGGCCGAGGCCTGGGCAGCCAGGTCCTGGTAAGCGGGTGACTTCAGGAAGCGCGGATAGGAGTCCTTCTCCATCAGGGTGCGTGTCTTCCCCTGAGCCACATCGAAGCACGTGGCCGTGGCAGCCTGCAGGTTGGTCCTGGTCAGCTCCCTGGTCTCGTGGTCTATGTTCACCTGTGGGAAGGAGGGCAAGCGCGTGGGTGAGTGGGGGTTGCGGGGCACGGTGAAGGGTCCAGCAGGCAGAGGGAGGAAGGACTGGCAGGTGGGGCAGTGGAAGGAGCCCTGGATTCTGAACCAGGAACCTGGGTCTCCAGAGTCCATTATTAAGTGGCTTTCAACTTTGAGCCTGTCCCCACATCTGATCCAGTGTCTGCCCTCCAATCTCTCAGAATCCTCAAGCATGTGTTAAGACTGTCCACAGATGCAACCCCTTCTCACCCCTTGCTCTCTAACAACCACTCTTAGGTTAGTGCCAGAGCCTGCTAGCGGGTCCTCCCCCACCCCTCCCTTCTCTCTCCTCCCGCCTTCTCCCCCCCTCCCCGACCCTCCCCTCGAGTCTGTTCTCCTTTCAGCAGCCAGACTGAACCTTTCAAACCCCAGGTCAGTCTTGTGGCAACTCTCATCTTCCCATGTCACTCAGAGGAAAAGCCACAGTGCATGCTGGGCCCACGCAGCTACCTGGACCCACCCCTGGCCACCTGCCACCTGTGTGACCTCATCTGCTATTCTCTCCCCGCTCCACACAGGCCAAGGTGCTGGTTTGTGATGATGACAACACTCTCTGGCCTTTGCTCTTTCCTTTTCCTGTTAGGTGTTCTGTCCTCCCATAACTCTCATGCCTCTGTTCCTGTGTCACCGTATCCGATAGCCCACCTCTCACTTCCCTCTGTAAAATGGGAAGACCTCACCTCCGTCCCCCCACCCCTGTGCTCCCTCCTGTACCTACTTTCTGTTATCAGAGGATTAGAGCACCCCCTGGCAAATGTTTATTTGTTTGATTGGTTGCTGGCCCCTTCTCCCACTAGGATAGAGGCTCTGTTTGTTCACTGCTCTCTTCCCAATGACTAAAACAGGACCTGG